TCTCTCTGTCTCTCTCTCACTCTCTCTTAAAAAAAAAAAATGTCTCTGTCCCTAGGTGGAAGAAGCTGGGCAGGTGTTCCTGTTAATGAAAAAGGATTATCGAATCTCCAGAAATGTTCGTCTGGCTTGGTTCCTCAATCATCTGCATCAAACTGTGCAGGCCACACCCCAGGAGTTGCTGGTGAGGTCTGGAGATAGGCATGAGGGAATGACCCAGAAGGATCTGCTTTGTTGGAGTGTACTAGAAACAGACAGGAGGGGAGACTAATTCTGAAAGCTCTAAGTTGGGGGTCGAGGGAAGGGGGGGTCAAGTGACTGCCCACAAGATGATTCCCCAAGGGAAATCTGAATAATTTTTTCAGATAATTGGGGGAAAGAATAGGTGATTATTTATGGGAAGCAGAATCAGTATTAAAGGAGGATATTAAAGGCAGGTCTAGGGAGCACTTTATAACATTTGATTCACTACCACACTTTAGATTAAAATTAGGATTATTTCTATTTTATAAATGAGGACACCAAGACTTAAAGAGATTAGGTGCCTTTTGTACAGTCTCACAGCTAATAAGTGGCCAAATTGGGATTCTGGGAAGAAAGCAGTGACTCTTTCCTGGTCCTTTTCTTCTTATATCCATCTTAATTACCAGCTTCAGTCTGAGCAGGAGTTAGAAGTCCTCAGTGTCCTGCCTCCTGGGTGGCAGCCAGATGAACCAGTGATCCCAAGACCATTCCTCCTCGTACCTTCTACTCGGGTTACCTTCCTGGCTTGGCAGTATCGATTTGTCATTGAGCTGGATCTTAGCCCATCCACTGGCATTGTGGTAAGTAGTTGGAGGGAGACTCTGGGAAGCAGGGATGGAGTGAAGGGTGAGGAAGAGAGAAGGCCTATGGGGGAGGTAAAAAAGGATCCCAATCTACCATTGTGGGAAGAAGATGAACTTATAAAGGAATTAGGACTGTTAAAAGATAGTCCCATTCCATCTGTGGCACTATATTTAGGGATGTGATTAGTCATAAGATGAGAGTCCTACTGACTTGTGGAAGCTGCTTGTTTCTGCCCTCTGCTTAGGGTTGCTTTTGGGCACCCTGAGAGAGCTTTCTCTGCATTGCCCTCAGGATGATTCCACAGGGGAGATCTTGTTTGATGAAGTTTTCCATGCCCTGTCCCGCTGCCTGGGCGGGCTGCTTCGGCCCTTCCGAGTGCCTGGATCTTGCATCGACTTCCAGCCTGAGATCTACGTAACTATCCAGGCCTACTCCTCGATCATTGGCCTGCAGTCCCACCAGGTAGTTCATCCCCCTCCAACTTTCTACCCACAGACCAAATTTCCAGTAATCTGCTAAGTACTCACCCTGTCTCTACTATTTCTACCAAGTCCCCAGCTCTGCTGGTTTCTTTAGCCTGTTCTCAGTTATTCCCATAAGTCTCTGTTTCCTTAAAACAACCAATTCCTCTTGCCTTAAAGATGCTTTCTAAGGATGGGTCAGTTGACATTGATTAGAAAATTGCCTATCTCACTCACCTCTTGAGTTTTGTCAGATGGTTTCTCTTGTACGAACTCCTGACACTACCCCCCAGGAGATGATTTTTTTGAATATTTTGTGATTTTGAACTTCTACAAATATTCAGAAATGTAATTTATTTTAGGGACAGAGAAGGGTCATATTTTCTGAGAGCCTGTGAACTGTCAGATATAATGCTGACCACACTGATAATTACAGGGCTCATCTGCCACCCAAGCAGGCTATCACAAGACACTCCTTTTGGAGAATGGCCAACTCTATTACAGAAATATCTGTTTGGGGCTTAGATAAACATTGGCCCATTTCCCCTCATCTGCTTTTAACCTCAACTCATTGGTAGGGGCTCTTCCTGAAACTGTCCCTGCTGGCTATATTGTCACCTTAGCCATCAAACTTTTTGGGAGAGACAGACATAAGCCAGGAACAGGCTCTGAAGGTCTGAAGTATACACCAATATACCTGGTGCATGCCAGATCCCAGGGCAGGGACTGTCAGCCCTTTGTCCCAGTTTAAAGTGCTCTTCTGAGACAACTTTTAGCCTGGTGTTTACAGGCCACATCCCCAGACAGAGGCCAGGCTTTGCAGGTACTGATAGCCAAAGAGAGAGAGTATGGGTGTTAGGTAATCACTCAAAACTTCATTCTGCTTGGCAAACACTGAAGCCTGACCTATGCCAGGCCCAGGCTATGTTCTGAAGACCCAGATGAATCAGGTACTGTCTTTATCCTGTTGGAAGGAATTTAGCATTCAGAGGGGGAAACAGATATTGCAGGAGGTAATTTCAGTTGAACATGATAAGGGCACTGATAAGTTATGACTGGGGTGCTGCAGGAACACCAAGGGGGAGCATCCAATCAAGCCTGGAACAGTGACAGGGAAGTCTTTTAAACAAAGCAGCATTTGAACTGAGTCTTGAAGAAAGAACTTGGTTTAACTGTTCAAAAAAGGGAAGACCAGCAAAAGCAAAGGCACAGAGCTATGAAACTGCACTCTCAATCACAGGTTTTTGAAGGAGCTACACATTATTCAGTTTTGATAGGGTAAAGTTTGAATATAGGAAAGTGGTGGTACAGAGAAGACCAGAGACAGAGGGGGGATCAATTAGGAAAGGCTTAGAATATCAATCTAAGGACTCTGTCCTTTTTTCTATAGGGGAGTTAAGAGCACTGGATCATTGCCTGTGTTTGCCTGACCATCTCCATCCCTATTTTGTATTTTATTTAGAGACAGGGTCTCATTGAATTGCATAGCACCTTGCTTTTGCTGAGGCTGGCTTTGAACTCTAGATCCTCCTGTCTCAGCCTCCCAAGCTGCTGGGATTACAGGCGTGAGTCACCAGACCCAGCCAAAATGGGGATATCAATAGCACCAATATACGGTGATTGGATTAATACATATCAAGTAGTTGAACAGTACTTGCCCCAGAGAAAACATACAAATGTTAGCTTTTCAAATAATTAGCCATAGGTATGAGGGGAACCTCTGAAAGTTTTGAATGGACAGCAACAGAATCAGATTTGTGCGCAGGTAAGATCATACTTATTTGTGGGAAGTGTGGAAGGTGGAATGGAGACAAAGTCTGGATGTAAGGAGAACAGGCAGAAAATGATTGCCATTTGGGAGAGAGGGTGATATCTGAACAAGGACAGCAGCTGAGGGGAAAGAGAGAATTTTCTTAGGTAAGCTCCCAGGGCCACTAATCAGCCCTAAGCCAGCCTCCACATCTTCTCTGTAGTTCCTCAAGGTATATCATGCAACTCTAAAAGAAAAGTTAGTGGGTGTGATGACACAAGCCTATAATTTCAGCTACTTGGGAGGCTGAAGCAGGAGGATCATAAGTTTGAGGCCAGCTTGGGCAATTTAACATGATACCTGTCTCAAAATAAAAATGGCTTGTGATTATTATAGCTAGCTCAATGATAAAGTATCCATGGGCTCAATCCCCAGTACCTCAAAAGAAAGAAAGAAAGAAAAACAAAGTTAAATTGCATTTATTTATAATACATGTCCTTTGAAGACTTGAAAGCCACATTAAAATATAAAGAGCTGGGCATGGTGGTACGCATCTCCCATCTACTTCAGAGGCTAAGGCAGGAGGATGGCAAGTTTGAAGCCAACCTGGGCAACTTAGTGAGACCTTGTCTCAAAAAATAAAAAGAGCTGGGAGTGTAGTTCATTGCTAGAACACTTGCCTAACCTATGCAAGGCTCTGGATTTAATCCCAATGCCAATAAAAAATAAAGGAAAAAAACAAAACTCACCTATAATATAATACTCAGAAATAAATATTGTTAACATTTTATGAAATTTCCTTCTAGTCTAGTGAGTATATATTGATTCTCCCCCACCACCATCCCTTTATTCAAAGACAGAAAGAGAACTATCAGGTGCATTCCAGACATATGACTTCTATGTCCTACTCTCTTATAATACATGTATTGTCCCATGTCATGAAAATTTTCTTTGAGAGCTTGTTTGGAAATACTGAAAGGGAAGTGCAGCTACTTGTATACTCTTTTTTTTATTTTTATTTTTTTTAGTTGTCAATGTACCTTTATTTTTTATTTATATGTGGTGCTGAGAATTGAACCCAGTGTCTCACACATACTAGGCAAGCGCTCTACCACTGAGCTACAACCCCAGCCCTAGTTGTATACTCTTGACTAAAGAATGATCCTCCTCTATCAGAGAAGGTCATCTTCTTAAACTAAGCTCACAGCTTTGGGAGGGATTCCCATGGAGCAGTGAGGGAGGCTGGGGACACCTGCCTAGCCAGCCAGATCAGTTGAATCAACCCTGCCAATCAATGGGGTGACCGATGTCATAGCCAGATCACCCTCACATCCATGAAATATTCTTTGAAAATGATTTTAATTACTCCTTAACTTACTATTTTATCCTGTTTTATCTTGAAATATTTAGCCAGCCCCTTATTGTTGGCCAGTTGTGTTGTCCCAGTTTTACTACTTCTAAACAATATAGATAGGAACATTTTATCTCATCTTTCTGTTGCTCCAGTTCCTGCTACTTCTCTGTTTCTGTTTTCCTTTTCACAGGCCTATAGAATGGGACAGTGTTCCACTTTCCCTCTCCGGCTGTCCCTATCCCCTTACAAAGTATGGAATAGAGTGAAGAAGTAGAAGAAGTTGTTCCACAGGAGGGTAGGAGTCAGGGAGAAGAAGTGGGCATGAAGGACAGGTTATAGGAGTGTGATGAGGAAAGAGGGGTGAGATCCTAGGGTCCACCATAAGGTCTTACAGATTTGTATATAGGGGGCACTTAGTTATATTTGAAGTAGAAGAAAACGACTCCATGGAGAAAGAGTGAAGATCCTAGAGAGACAAGAAGTTTGTGAAGAGATGGAGAGAGATTAGCTCTAGGGGGAAAGAATAGGATAAAGAACCCTTTCTTGAGAGTCTCAAAGAGAGAACAAGAACATGGATAAATGTAAACATGCCATAGACTTTGAGGGGAATTTCCAGAGGGGTGGATTTCCAGGTTAGGGCCAGTTCTTATTAGCTGACCTCCTTTCTCTATGAAAAGTGGTAATTGTTGTCTGCTGAGAGTAAAGGAAAGGAAGGAACATTTATGGGGGGAATAAGAAGAACATTTTGAGTTCAAAAGAAGCAATAACCTCTAGGATACCTGTGTGTATCTTAAGAAATGAGTAAAAGGACTTTGCTGGGCTGAGGTGGGCAGTTTACAGACAAATACCAAAGCCCATTATGGAAGGAGCTGGGAGATCTTATGGTGCCCCCATGTGGGAGACTGGGGAAGCCCAGGGTGGAAGGCCCTAAGCAGAGGTAAATATCGTGAACCCAGATTAAGGTGACGATGTCTTGAAGCTATGTGCAGGATTGCCGTGTACCTAGGCTAAGAATTGGTGAAGTAGATTTAAGAAGGAGGAACTGGCTGTGGAGTCATTTGATCCTGGTTGGGTGAGAAATTAGGATTGCCTAGAGGGAGCTATGGAGAATAAGCAGAGAGAGCAGAGATCTGTAGGGGCCAATACCCCACTGTGGTCCTATCTCAATCTTTCCCTTGTGCTTCTCAGGTGCTTGTACAAGGTTGCCTTTTGGACCCTTCTCAACGGGAAGCATTCCTTCAGCAGGTGTATGATCAGCTCTGCCTCTTTGAGGATAAGGTGGCTGCCATGCTGCAGCAGCAGTATGATCCCCAGAGCCAGGTATGTGGGAGAGAAATGGGCAGAGACTATTTTGAAAGAGAGTTCATAGGATGGAGGGCAGAGAGGAGGATTGTACCACCTAGAGAGGGTAAGGATGGCAGAAAAGGACTAATAGCCAGGGGCAGAGTGAGACAAGGACAGATGTGCTAGTGAATACTTAAAACTACCTTTAAAGGACAGTGACTCACATTCTTGGAGGGAGAAAAGGTGAAGGCCATTTGCTTGTGTTTTTTCAATCCCAGATCCTCGTCCTGTGAGGATCTGAGAAGCTGACCATAAGTGGCTTTGATTTCGAGTTAGTATTTTGTACAATCTTAGGCTTACTAGAATTACTGCTTGGCTCACTAGAATTGCTTTGGATATCACAGAAGTTGCCAGGCAAGTAGCAGTTCTGTGTGCCTGATGACTGGTATGGAATTGGATTGTTTATAAAATATTTCATGATAGTGATGGGAGAATATGGAAAAAGGCCCTTCTCCGAAAAAGGTAGAGAAGCCCTGCCTCAGTACAATCTGATAGTTCGTCTGGTGTTGACTCCCTTCCCATCTGAGGTTCAGCAGCTGAGCACATGTGTGGAAGGAAGAACAGTGGGACTCAGCAGCATCGTGGGGAGCTTGGGGTCTTCACATGATTAGGCCTGGGCAGTACAGGGCTACAAATTCTGGTTTGGGAGCTGGAGGCATAGCTCAGTGGTAGAGCACATGCTTAGCTTGGATTCAATTCCCAGCACTATAAAGAAAAAAGAAGGGGCTGGGGATGTGGCTCAAGCAGTAGCATGCTCACCTGGTATGCGTGCAGCCCGGGTTCGATCCTCAGCACCACATACCAACAAAGATGTTGTGTCCACCAAGAACTAAAAAATAAATATTAAAAATTTCTCTCTCTTTAAAAAAAAGAAAAAAGAAAAAGAAGAAGCTAGATATGGTGGTATGTGCGTGTAATACCAGCTACTTGGGAGGCTAAGGCCAGAGAATCATTAGTTTAAGGCCAGCCTCAGCAGGTTTTAGTGAAACCCTGTCTTAAAATAAAAAGTGAAAGGACTGAAACATAGCTCAGTGGTAGTGCACTCTGAGTTCAATTCCCAGATAAATAAATATTAAATAAATAAAAATTGATTAAATTTAAAACAGAAGAAAAATTATAAATTCTGATTTTGCTGTGGATGAGGCAGCAATGCAATCTGTCGTAGTCTAACTTTTCTGTAACTTGGGGCCAGGCAGAAGACCAGTCCCCAGACTCAGGAGAGCCCTTGGGCCGGAAGGTGGGAGTTTCCATGGTGACAGCTGATCTTGGACTAGTCAGTATGATTCGTCAGGGCATCTTGGCACTGCAATTACTGCCCTCAAACTCCAGTGCAGGTCAGTAAAAAGAATGTTGATGGGAATGGGGAAATGGGGATCCGCAAGGGTGGGGGGATGTTGACGAAGATAGAGATTCCTGGGGATCAGTGGGTCTTAGGGAAGAGGACCTGTTTCATTGTTTGCAAAATATAAATCTGCACTAGTGTATATCTTGAGTATCCTCAGCTCTGGCAACCATCAGGGACCCTAGTGGAAAGGAGTAGAATTACAAGGACATCATGTAGGGGAGATTGTGATCTAGCATCACAAGAAAGAAGCAGGAGGGGAGGAGAGAAGGAAAGGTATTAGAGGTTTATAAAACATGTTGATGAGTGGACACTGAGGTCTTCAGAGCCCTGTCCATTGGGTGCCTCCTTGTTAGTTTGGTCTGGCCAGTGCTGCAGGTCTGAATCTTGTTTTCTGCCTCAGGTATCATTGTGATCACAGATGGGGTGACCAGCGTACCTGATGTTGCTGTCTGTGAGACACTACTGAACCAGCTTCGCAGTGGTACTGTGGCTTGTTCCTTTGTTCAGGTGAGTACTCTATAGGAAGGAGAAGGAGTTGGGTATCTCACAAAGTCAGGTGTGGCTGGTTACTTTCTTACAGGTGAGATTTTTCAAATGAAGTTAATGACATAAGTTGCCTTGGGGAGAAGCTAATGACATAGTTGCCTTGAGGAGAACGTGTCATGTCTAGAGCAATGGAGGTAGCAATAGTGGAAGAGGATTCTCTTCCACTATTTTTGTCCCCTTTCTTTAGGATTTGGGAGACAGCATGTTAAGTAAAAAGAATAGAAATTTCAAACTCTGAGTCAGTTTCAGCTCCACCTATCCCATTAGCTTAGTTATTATTATTTTGGTTTCAAGGGTTAAAAAACCAGCTCAAGCTAGCTTAAGCAAAGGGGAGGGAAGGCATATACAGGGAACTACAACTGATGGTAAACTAGAGAGGTAGACATAGCCAAGCATGGAAAGCTGGTTTGGCCATATTAAGAAGTAAAATGCATAGTTCTATGGGTGATGCAGATATACAGCAGGAAAATCACTAGTTGATTTACATTTTATAAAGGCCATTCTTGCTGCTGAGTCAAAGGCAGGAGTGGAGACAGAGAGACAATTAATTGCAATGGTTAGTAAGAGGAGCAGGGCTTAAATTAGGGAATTTAGGGGCAAGCAGTTTGAGAAAATAAAGAGATAGAGTTAAAATGACTTAGGATTAGCAAGATACAAAGGGACAGGTGAGGGAGAAAGAGAAGTTAATTGTGTCTCCAAGTATCTGACTGGGTAACATGCAGAGCAAATGGAAAGAGAAGTAGTTGGGGTGGAGTGGGGACAAGATGATAAATTTTGTGTATGTATATGTTTTGTTCAGGTTCATCTGTGTTGTGTTTGAGGTTCCTGTGATTGGTCACAATATAATAGTTAAGAACATTGCCTTTGGAATAAGGCATGCCAGTCTGAATTCTGGCTATATTTATTAGCTCTGTGACCTTGGACCCACCAGTTCACCTCTAGGTTGGATTCATTTATAAATGGAGATTATCAGAGTACCTACCTCCAATGGTGAGATCATACCTTTAAAGTACAGAGGAGAATACCTAATTACATATGAAATGGCTGCAATTCATAGCAGTTAACAGTTGGATATGCAGACCCTGATACTCAAGAGACAGGGTAGATTAGAGAAGTCAGAGATTTTGGAAGAAATGAGTAGTTAACATTGCAAGATGCAGAGAAAGATTAAGAGGGATGAGGAATGAAAAGTACCCTTTGGGATGTAATAATTAGGTCACTGGGATCCTTTTCAGAATCATTTTAGTGAAGAGGCTGTGAGGGAAATTTTTGCTGTGGATAGAAGAGAAGGAAGTAGAGATAAGTGTTGACACAAGAAATTTGGCTGTTCAGATCAAGTGGGGAACAAGAAAGAATGGTAGCCAGAGGAAAGCACAGGGAAGAAGGAGGGGTGTTTATTCTTTTTTTTTTTTTTTAAGTTAGAGACTTAGGCTTTGTTCTAAGGGGTCATAGTGAAGAAGAGTTTGAAAAAAGGGAAAGAAAGAAGAAGCTGATGGAGTAAAGTCCTGAATTGACAGGTGGACATTGGCTCTAGTAACAGATTGAGGAATTCTTTCAGAGCAGACAAGTGTTATTTCTTTCTTTGAACTAGAAGATAGAAGTGAAGATATAGATAAATTCTACCAAAGGCCCCATTTCTCTCTGAAGTAAAAGATAATGATGATCGGGGCTGGGATGTGGCTCAAGCAGTGGCGCGCTCGCCTGGTGTGGTTGCGGCCCGGGTTCGAGCCTCAGCACCACATACAAACAAAGATGTTGTGTCTGCGGAAAACTAAAATGTAAATAAAATATTTTTTAAAATATATAATTATGAATACCATAAGGAAGTGAGGCCAATGTTGAGAAGATGATACAGGCTTAAGGACAACCCTGAATAAGTAGTTGGGTGGGGTGTCATGTTTTGACATAGGACCAGCCTACACACCATGCGATTTTCTCCATTTGCGCACCATTGATTTGACTGAGTATAGAGGTTGTGATCCTAGTTGGGGTTTTGAGGTAGGAGCAGAAAACTGTGAAGAAGGTCAGGGATTTGAGAACAATGTTTATGAAATTGCTTGAATTAAGGATCCAAGTGGGGCAGGGGTTGCATAGGAGGGTCAGGATAATGCTATTAGACTTGGAGAGAGCACACTGAAGGCCTGGAAGACCCAATGTGGTCAAAGAGCAGCAGGAAGAGGGCAGAAGGAAACTAAAGGGATAAATCACGTGTCATGGATTATAGCAATTTAGAATTGCAAAGATGAATTGTTCCAAGTGAAGCCAAGCCCCAAGATGTAACCAGTGTGCAATAAAATAGAGATGAGGGTTAAGGAACAAAGCAGCCAGGGAACTAGATGAATCATCTAGGCCAGATAGTGAATATTTAAGCCTAAAGGGGTTTGTCACAACTGTTGGGCTGTGCTGTGGTGGTGTGAAGGCTCTTGGATGGTAGTATGAAAGCAACCAAAGACAATACAAAATGAATGGCATGGCTGAGTTCCAGTAAAACCTTATTGACAACAACAGGTGATGGGCTAGATCTGGCCTCAGTGTATATGAGTTTGCCAATTTCTGATCTGTAGCCTTTGCATTGGCCTCAGAAAGCTTATTTGCAATGCAGACCTCAGGCTATACCCCAGACCTCCTGCATTTTAACAGTATCTCTGGGGCAGGGATTGGTGGGGTTCTATATGCTCTGAAGCTTGAGAAAAACTTTATTAGAGATACACACTGAAGTCTTTCAGGATGATGACAGGAAACCAATGAACCAGTTGCTAAAATCTTTTTTTTTTTTTTTTAAAGAGAGAGAGAATTTTTTAACATTTATTTTTTAGTTCTTGGCGGAGACAACATCTTTGTTTGTATGTGGTGCTGAGGATCGAACCCGGGCCACACGCATGCCAGGCAAGCGCGCTACCGCTTCAGCCACATCCCCAGCCCCTGCTAAAATCTTTAGTGAAGGAAGAAAAGAGTATTTGATGTTGAGGAAGAAGGACAGAAGATGATGTAACCAAATGGTATGGGCTTCAGACAGAAGGACTCAAGGAAGGGCAGGCACAGAGGGAGAATGGTGGCTCGCTTCTCCCCCAGTCCTAGCTCCCTCTCTTGCTATTCATCGTCTCCAGTTCCTCTGATGGATCAGGGACTCTACTTGTTCACTTTCTCCAGGTGGGAGGCGTTTACTCTTATGACTGCAGTTTTGGACATGTGCCCAATGTGGAATTGATGAAGTTCATTGCAATGGCAACATTTGGTTCCTACCTGTCCACTTGTCCTGAACCTGAGCCAGGCAACTTGGGTCTGACTGTCTACCACCGGGCATTCTTGCTCTACTCCTTCCTACGCAGTGGTGAAGCACTGAACCCTGAATATTACTGCGGTAAGAGGCAGGCTGGGTGGGATGGAAGGGGGAATATAGAATGGGCCCAGAGATTATGCCATCTAGGCTTTGGAAGAACTGGAAGTCTGACAACTCTGGAGCTGTTCCCACAGTGATTTTAGCATAGTCCCTTCCCCTTGTGTACCTGTCCACTAATAGATCACCAATTTCTCTTTCCCCATCTTCACTGGGCCCCCAGGTTCTCAGCACCGCCTATTTAATGAGCACCTAGTCTCTGCAAGCAGCAACCCTGCCTTGGCCTTGCGCCGGAAGAAGCATACTGAGAAGGAGGTGCCAGCTGACTTGGTCAGCACTGTGTCTGTACGACTTCGAGAGGGCTACAGTGTCCGAGAGGTCACACTGGCCAAAGGTGAGGTAATTAGGTCCTACTATAATTTCACAGATCTTTGAGAACTTTTGTGCAGGTAGACCTGTTGAACAGAGTGGAAGACACCCATGTAACACCCCTGAAAGAGCATCACTATGAGAGACTCTGCTTGTCATTTGAGAGTTGCCTTCAGGGCTCACTTCTCCCAGCAAGTAATTTCCCAACTCCATCTCCTTTTGCACAAGGTGAACCAGCTGAGACGAGTGTAATGCCCTGAACTTGGTTTTATTTTCAAATTACTCCTGCAAACTTCTTTTTGAGTCAGTTGACAGACTCTGGGCCTGAAACCTATGGAACTGTGCTTGGAACCTTTGGCCAGGCTAGAGTTCCATGAGGTAGGTGAGGTTTCAGATAGGAATCTCTCTAGGCCTGGAGTCCTAAGTCTTCTTCACCCAACTGGCCCTTCTGCTCCCCTGAAGGAGGCTCCCAATTGGAAGTGAAGCTGGTGTTGCTTTGGAAACACAACATGCGCATTGAGTATGTGGCTATGGCACCCTGGCCCCTAGAGCCTGAGGGCCCTCGAGCAACACGGGTGGAAGTGACAATGGAAGGTGGCTATGACATTTTGCATGATGTGTCCTGTGCACTAAGGCAACCCATTCGTTCCTTATATCGTACCCATGTTATCCGCCGTTTCTGGAACACACTGCAGAGGTAAGTGAGGTCACCACTTGGTGAATAATGCCCTATTTGTTGTATGGAGGGACCGGTTTGTGAAACTGGGAGTGGGGAAGGGTCATCCTGAGCACCAGGCTGGGTCTTTGGTCCTGTCTCCTTGGGGTTCCCCTCAACTGCACCTAGCAGAGTCAGCTGTGGCTCAGGCTTGGCCCTTATTTGACAGCATTAACCAGACTGACCAGATGTTAGCCCATCTTCAGTCCTTTTCCTCAGTGCCAGAGCACTTCACACTTCCAGACAGCACCAAGAGTGGAGTGCCACTCTTCTACATCCCTCCAGGCTCCACCACCCCGGTGAGTAGCTCTGATGCTTAGTAGCCCCTTTTCTGTTCACCTGGGTAGGGATCAGCACAGTATCTGGATCCCAGACCAACTTCTGTACCTTCTCTTTCAAGGAACAGAAACTAGAAGCTTCCCCTTTGACCTTGAAAGCATCTCTTTTCTATCTTCTAAGGCCCTGGGGAGGGGGAGGAGAAGGATCCAAAAGGTCCTTAACAGATCATGGGTGTCTGACATCTTGCAGAATGTTCAGGTGGTGGTCCCTCAGCAGACTGTGCACTCCCTCACCCCAACCTCCCCAGCCACCTTCACCTGTTCCCAACCATCACCAACCACTGTGAACTGTGTGCTTTCTGAATGCCACAGCTTCCTTTGTCCTGTGCTGTCTTCGCACTCGGTGAAGACATGGCTGGCAGCCTCGCGCTGATGGGCACATGGCTTACATGGGTGTGCAGCAGCGTCATCACCAGGTGTTGCCATCACTCAGTTTTTCTTTGAAAGTCAGTGACATAAGCTGGGCAGGTTCCATCTTCCTGCTGAATTCATCTTTAAGGAAAGGCTACACAGTTTGTCTCTGGCTCAGTCACACTAATATAGCCTTCAGATTGGAAGCTATTTTTCCTCAATCCCAAATTAGGCTACAGCCCTTAGCCTTAATCTACTTCTGTCTTTGACCCCTTGGACTGAGTCTACCTTGACTCTGTTTGCTGGTTGTCCACAGATGTTCCCATAGGGCTATCTCTTCTGTCCCCAGGTGCTCTCCCTTCAGCACAGTGGTTCTGACTCATCTCATGCCCAGTTTGCTGCCTATTGGAAGCCAGTGCTGTCTATGGATGCTAATTCATGGCAGCGTTGGCTGCACATGCATCGCCTGGTGCTCATCCTAGAGCATGACACGTGTGTATCTTCAGGGCTAGGGCCATAGTTTGGGTGGAGGAGCAGGGGTAAGAGGATAGGGAGTGATGGGAAGGGTACCAGCTGAGTCCATGTCTTCCTGTTTATCAGCCCTGATAATCTCAGGCCTAGGGGAGGAAGTAGTATACTCTTCCCCCCAAGATTGGAGCTGGGAGGTCTGATTGCATTCAACACCTTCTTCCTAGACCAATCCCCAAGCACTTGCATACCCCAGGCAGCAATGGACGCTACAGCACTATCCAGTGCAGGATCTCACACTCCTCCCTGACCTCTTTGCTTCGGGACTGGAGCAGCTTTGTGCTGGTCGAGGGTTATTCTTATGTCAAGTTGCTCTCCAGGTGGGCAAAGTGATATCTCACTTTTCCCCCATCACCTTATTCCATGTCTCCTCTAATGCCAGGCCTCAACCCTACCTCCTCCTAAACCCATCTACTTCCAGCCTAGGGCTGCTCACTTTCTCCCATTTCTCCCCAGTGCCCCAGACCAGCCCCCTTCCTCCTTCTACATGGTCCGCATCATTTCCAAGGCCCCATGCATGGTTCTTCGCCTGGGTTTTCCCATTGGCACTCCAGCACAGGCCCGGCACAAGGTAAACTGGGCCCTTACTCCCAGACCAAGGAGTTTTCGGGTGTAGATGAGCTCCATTTCCTGTGCCCCCGCAGGGCCAATTTTAGTAGGGAGAAGTGATTCCCAGACCAAGTAAGGCTTGAAGGAGACAGTTTTCTTACCTTGTCTTTGGGCCCGTTTTCTCAGACTTCTGGAGACTACATTTTCCTTGCAGATTGTGTCAGATTTGAGGGAAGAGATCCTACGCCTTCGTTTCCCCCACCGGGTGCAAAGCAAGGAGCCAACACCCAAGGTGAAACGAAAAGGGCTGGGTGGCACTGGTGGGGGTAGCTCTCCCTCTAAGTCACCCCCCATGCTGGGGCCACAGCAGGCCCTGTCTGACCGGCCCTGCCTTGTGGTCCTCCATAAACCACTGGACAAGCTCCTCATCAGGTTAGTATAGAGGATGGGGAAGGGCCCTGGAACATGAGGGAAGGATAGTAGAGATCAACTGAGGAATTGCCCATTTCCCAGGTATGAGAAGCTACCCCTGGACTACCGGGCACCCTTCCTGCTGACACTGGAACCACCAGGGCCACTGCCCTTAGTCTCAGGCCGTTCAGCCTCGTCTAGCCTAGCATCACTGTCTCGCTACCTCTACCATCAGCGCTGGCTCTGGAGTGTCCCATCAGGACTGGCTCCTGCACTACCACTCAGTGCCATCGCCCAGCTCCTATCCATCCTCACTGAGTATGTCACTGGAGCCTGCCAGGCTACTGGGACAGGAGTAGAGCAAGGGTGGACTTTGAGTTTGAACACTGGCAGAAAGCCTAAGCCACTTTCTATCACTACATTCCAATATCAAGCATAGAGCACGCTGCTACCTAACCTTGCGCTTTCCCCCTACTATGCTTATTTTGGCCTCTGATCCTAATTGGACCTGTTGTACCCTAAGAGACCGTTAGTCTGAACAGAACATCTAGTGGACTAGGCTGTCACGATGGCTACTGGGAGATGGATGTGTTGGGGCACTGCACCGAGTATCTCCTTTCTCATCTTCTTCCATTTTTATGGGGCTTTAGAGTTCGACTCTCTGAAGGGTTCCATTTTGCCTGCAGTGCGGAAGGAATCATCAATATGGTTCTGGAACTTCCAATTCAGGTGTGTGCTATCCCTCATGACACTTCACCTCAGGGTCCATCATAATAATCTCAGGGACATTTGCCTCTGAGCTGGGTGGGGACTGCTATAAACCTTGTCTCATAGGGACCATATGATATGGTCAGAGGACCAAGGTTTGAGGCCAGAGTCATAGAAATAATGAGGAGTGGTGAAGGTACTGAAATTTTAAGGGCCAGAGCTAGGCTAGACCAGGTCTTCACACCAGCTAGGATTTTTCTAGGTCTTCTATTTTTGTTGTTGTTGTTCTGCTAGGGATTGAACTCAGGGCCTTGTGTATGCAAAGGCAAGCACTCTACCAACTGAGCTATGTTCCCAGCCCTCTAGGATCTCCTATTTACCCACAGAATGAACCACCTGGGCAAGCTGCAGCTGAAGAGAAGCACACATGTGTCATCCAGTACATCCTCTTCCCCCCACACTCCACCTCCACCAAAGACAGGTGAGATTTAGCCCTGCATAGAAGTCATCTCTGCAGAGTGCCCTCTCTCCTCACTGTCCCCTAAACATCTGGCTCACATATCCTGGGATGTTCATCTCAAGTTGAGGCAGAGGGATGTTATATTTTGATGTTTCATCAGGCAGACATGGTATATAGAGGCCACATGCAACTTGTGGCTATCCTATGCCTGCCTCCTTCCTCTCCTCCATGGGCTCGCTCCCTGCCACAAGGCTATGTGTTAGATCCCTTCTCCCTCTTTCTTAGAGCACTCTCTCCTTTAGCTTCTCAACAGATGACGACAATGATGTGGAGGTGGAGGCCTTAGAGGGGGACTCAGAGCTTAATCTGGTCACTGAGGTGTGGGTGGAGCCACAGTATGGGCGAGTGGGACCTGGCCCTGAAAGCTGGAAGCACCTGCAGAACTTGACATACTCTGAGATCCCTCAAGCTGTGAGTGTCCCGAGACCCATACCCTGATCTTTCACCAGGTTGGATCTCCTTTGGATGCAGTAGCCCCTGGGCTTCTTGGGGCCTCAGAATGTCTGTGACTGTTTAGGCTTCATTGAGAACCAGAGGCTAGTTTTATGAGGGGTTACTCCTATCCTCTGATGTTTTCTTCCCTAGCTGCACCCACGGGATGCTGCCTGCATAGGCTCCATGCTGAGCTTTGAATATCTGATACAGCTCTGCCAGAGCAAGGAATGGGGTCCTTTGCCCCCAGAGCCACGGGTCTCTGATGGTTAGTGGGGAAGGCAGCCCCTGGGTGGAACAGGGGAATGAGTAGGGAGAAAGCTGGTAATCTGGATCTCACTGTTGTATCCTATCATCCTTCCCTCCCTCCTAGGACTGGACCAGGGAGGAGACACCTGTGTCCACGAGATCCCTTTCCGTTTTGACCTAATGGGATTGCTGCCACAGTGCCAACAGTTGCAGATGTTTTTCCTTTTGCTGTCCAGAGGTGGGTGAATTTGGTACCTACTCACCCCTCTCCTAAGGGGCCAGCATGCTGGGCATATTAGAGACCAGATGAGTAGAGGAGCAAATGAATGATGGGGCAGGAGGAAGCTGCAGCCAAAGGGTTCTGCTGGCCAGGGTGGAGCTGGGGACACTGGATAGCAGGAAGCTCTGGGTGCTGAGCAGAGTGTGTGTCGGGCAGAGCCAGAGGGTGTTCCTCTCGCCGAGGGGCCCTGTCCTGCCAACGACACGGTGCTGTGCCTGCTGCACAGCTGCCTGGGGCAGGAGCTGAGTGACCGGGAGATCCCACTGACCCCTGCTGACCAGGCTGCCTTCTTGAGTGAGGTACTGCGGCGGAGCTGTCATGATCCAGGTGAGCTCCCCACCTTTTTTTCTAATACTAGAATCCAGCCCAGCCCTTTCTCCCCCTCCCACAGGGCGGTTTCTGTCTAAGCTCTGGACTCCCTCCTCCCCATCCTCCCCATCTCTTCAACTTAGAGCCACCTTTCTGGGGCTCTACCCTCTTCCACCATCTCTATGCCTATTGTAGGTGCAGAGGGGCCACCAATGGGAAGCCATGGGATCCTAAAGGATCAAGTCAGCAGCACCCTGGCCACTGGACACTCAGCTCTTCCTGCCCTGGTCAGCATTGAATCTTCTCCCTAAGCCTTTGTCATACTGACCTCCTTCCATTGCTATACATCCATGTATAGTGATGCCAGATTTCTATCACCCTTCTGCCACAGAAACTGGACACTGTCATTTCCATTTGTTCTGAATCTTATACACTATACCTAAGATGAGTCAGCTCAAGGTGAAGGAAGGGAACAGGGCTTAGATGTTCCCTTGTAGATTGCTCTAATTTTTTGTTTCTCTCTTACAGGATGTAGGTCTTCCTGAAACTCTCAGGCCTCTCATCTCTGCCCAGCCTCCTCAGTGGCGTTGCTATGCCAGGCTGGTGAACCCCCAGCATGTGTTCCTAACTTTTCTCCCCACTACCTTCACAGGTACTGACTACTGGCTTCACTAACACTCCCCACCATAGATACACACACTATATATAAACCCCTGCACTCCCTCACCAGAACACCAAACAACTCTGATTTGTATCCATCTTTTCCTCTTCAGATGTTCAGCGTCTGACTGCCTATGGCCTGGAGGGACCTTCTCAAGAAGAAACAAAGCTTGGGGATTGGAGTGGAACCCCCAGTCCACGAGATCTAGGAGGAATTGGGGTTAAGGCTACCAAGTCCCAAGTCCCTATCCTCAGCATAACCCTAGCTGATGGTAAGGTCATTGACTCTGATGTCAATTAAATAGGAGTGGGGTAAGACACAAATAAAGGGCTTAAACACCATGGGACACCTTTCCCCACAGACAGTGCCCAGGATCAAGGAGAGCTGAGCCCTCCCTTCCGCCAGGACTTACAGACTTATGCTGGGCGTCAGACTTCCCAGACAGAGGGTACAGAGGGGCCCCGGACCCGGTGTCCTGTCTATGTCTATAGCTGTTCCCTGGAAGCATTGAGGGAGCAAATGGTTGGCATGCAACCCCCTCAGGCGCCCCGAGACCTCATCTTCCGGTGAGTGCTCTTGATATTCATGTGTGTCCTCCTCCTACAAAGGTTTCGGGGTACACTCATGGGTATGGATAAACAGATTGATGGTCAGTGAAAGGAACTCAGCTTCTGGCTTCCCTCAGCAGGTTCATCAACTGAGTGAATACATTTTGAAAGAGTCTAGATATAAGAGACTGGATATCCACTGACTAATGAATCCAAGGTATCATATAGGAAGTTAACCAAACTCTGTTGTCCCTCCATTCCTAGGACTCAGTTTCTCGACCACCCCTCTGCATCCTCAGTCTGGATGGAGCCCAGGTATAAAGAGGCAGCTACCCATTGTGCCTTGTTGCAGGAGCATGCACAGCGGTGCTATGTCCGTGGTAAGCAGGAAGGCCACGTGAGGGAAGAGTGGAGCTCCAGGAGTGGAGATACAGACATTACAGGGTTGGGACCTGGAGAGTCCATTCCAGAGCTGACCCTCGTGACCCTTTTCCACTTCCATTAGGGCTATTCCGGAGCTTGCAGCAATCACAGAGCGTGACTTGCCAGGATTTGCTGACAGCAGTGGATGCCTGTGAGGAACTACTGCAGGAAGTAGACATCACCCCATTTTTGCTTGCTCTGTGTGGCCACACTTGTGGTTTACCTCATGCACCCCCAAGCCCTGGTCCTCTCAGCCCAGGGCTTTTCAGCAGCAGCATTGAGGAGGGTCCAGAGCCTCGGGAACGAGCTATCCTAGCTTCTGAATCCAGGTTAGGATTATTCTTGAATGATGTTAGAGAAAGTGGGGAAACAAACCAAGACTCTAAAAACAAGAACTTTCTAATCCAGGAGTGGGCACAGAGAAGCATCAATATTTTGTTGCTGGCTTCCTTTTTCCTATACAGACAGCCTTTTCCCCTGTGGCCCTGGAAACATGCTCCCTCTCAGGCACTCCCCATTTCTCCTGCTGTGGTATGGTCTGATGAGCCAGGGAGTTCCCAGTTGCCAAATTGGAGACTTGTTCTGAGGACCTCCATATAATAGTAACAGTCTCCCCAACTAATCTCTTTGTCATGGGGACCAAAACTATGTAATTTGCTCACTGCTGAGTCCCCAGCTAACTTTAGACCTTTGCAGGCCCCTACTGAAGAGAGGCTGGAGGAAAGAAGAAAGATCACAGGCAGATAGCTCTATATTAGTCTCTGCAGTGTATTGCCCATGGGGAAAAATGAACTAGAGTGGTGGGTACACAGAGGACTCCTAGTTGAAACTCTAGCCCGGGGCCCTCTGGAGCTCTAGATCTCCTGCTTTTCATGCCCCCTAAGTGAACTTATTTTTTTCCCATCAAACCTCACTTCTCCACCTGTTTTCTCCATTCATGGGGAACAGTACCACTCTCCATCAAGTGATATGAGTCAGAAAACTGGGATCACCCTCACTCTACTTCACAAAAATAGTCTGGCCCTTAAGAAATGTGGAGGTTAGAGCCCAAATAGGTGGGTTGGTTCTCCTTGGCCTCTGTCACTGCCCAGGCCATTGGGTTAATACTATGTAGACAAGAGACAGATGTGTGCTGCTCCTCACTTGGGAAGCAGGTACCTCTAGCACTTGGTGGTTTTTGATACTGGTGTTCTCCCCACCCCCACCTCTCAGCATAGAGACTGAAGACCTAAGTGAGCCTGAGTTTCAGAGCACCCGTATCCCTGGCAATCCAGACCCTGGCCCAGAGATCTCTCTGACAGATGTCTGCCAGCTCAAAGGAGAGGCACATGATACCCTTCATGGCCTCATCCAGGTAGGGAGCTTGGGTGAGGTCAGAAGAGGGGTAGAGTTCTTGGGCACTGTCCCATTCTGGTGGAGGGGTAGTACCTTCAAGGGTCAGTTGACATCATAACCCTCTTCTAAACCCTACAACAGGAGAAATTCCTGGAAATTAGTCGTCTTCACTTCCGCACTGTGCCCTCCAATCCCCACTACTTCTTCTATTGCCCTCCTTCCAGCAGACGAGAAGTGAGTGCCTTTATCCTTCCCTCCTTTGTGCCCCAAACCCAGAGCCCTAGTCATCCCACTTGGCCTGCCTAGATCCTCTTGAATCTTATTTCCTTGTGACCCTTGTAGTTCTTGGCCTACTTAGATTAAATTTTGTTTTGTTTGGGTTTTTTATTTGTTTGGTTGATTTTGGTTTTGGTATTTGGGGTTTTGTTTTGTTTCTATTTTGCCCAGGATGATGGTCCTCGGGACACAGTAGACAGAAAAATCAGTGATCTGGAGTTTTCAGAAGCTGAACTTGTGGGAGAAGAAGGTATGTGATGTGAGCAAGTGGGTTGAGGTGGAGGAGGTTGCTTCAAGCCAGGATTGAGAGGCCTCCACTGCCAGTCTAACTTGTTGACCATATGACATGCACCATTAGGTGACACATCTGCCTGCTGTGTGGTCACTGAGAGTGATCCAGAGCTGGAGGTCGAATACCGTGAGAGCCGTGAACCAGACCTGGGGCCTGCTGGTTTAGACTCTGCCTCACTATCAGATGCAGACACTGTGAACCCTGATGAAGACTCCTTCAGTATCTTGGGGGGTGACTCACCCACTGGACCTGAGAGTCTTGTGCATGACCTGCCACCCCTCTTCTTGCACCTCACATGCTCTGTGCGGCTTCGTGGACAGCACAGCTCAGTACCTGTGTGCAGCCTGCCTACTTGTCTGGGTGAGTTCAGAGGAGCCTGTGGAAGACCAGGGTTGCCTGCCTGTGTGAGGGTGGAGGAAAGCCTAGGAATATGACTCATTCGCATGTAGAACTTGAATCTATGCTTTTCTCAGGGCCCCCAGCAATCCCGGCTTTCCTCCTCTCCCAGGCCAGGTACTTGCCAGTTTGGAGGGCCCCCCAATTAGAGGCCGAGTTCCCCTGAGGGACCTCAGTGTCACCCTGGATGTCTTCGTGCTGACCTTGCCCCTGGAAGTGGAGCTTCCCCCAGCCTCGGACCCTCAGCACCACAGGTGTGGTGGCAGCAAGCTTGGTGGAGGGTCTGGGACTTTTGTGGGAATAGGGGCACCATTAAAGGAATATAAGGGACTGTGGGAACTAAGGAGACTTTGAGGAGGTCCCAGGGGGGGTAGTGTCTCCTGACCTTTGTTTCTACCGTGTTTAGATCAACATCTGAGAGCAGTGCTTCATTCCCACGGTCTCCAGGGCAGCCATCATCTTTAAGGTCAGATGATGGCCTGGGACCTCCACTACCACCCCCAGAAGAAGAGAGGTATATACTTATCTCCCTCTCACAGTTCATCACTCCCCCTCAGTTTCATTCCTGGAAACCAGTATCTGAATCTTCCTTCCACTTAGGCACCAAGGACTGTCCAGTTTGGCCACACCCCACAGACTGGCTATTGAGACCACCATGAGTGAGGTGAGGGCCTTCTCTCCCCCAGTGCAAGCAATAGCTCCCAGTGCTCTGATAATCTTTCTATCGTATACATGAGAAAAGTACTCCCCTTTATTCTGGGATTAAAGTGAGGCTTTTCTCAGTCTGAGTCAGAGTATCATCTAGTGTTTTCTAGTCTGGGAGTGAGGTAATGCTCCAGTAATCAAGAAAGATGCCCTTTACCACTTCCTGCGTTGTTCTTCCTAGATACGCTGGTTGTTAGAAGATGAGATGGTGGGGGCACTCCGAAGAGGGGGCATCCCCCAGAGCCCTGCCCTGCACCGAGTAGCTGCCCACATCCATAGCTCTCCTGGACGCTCCACCTGCCTTCGCCAAACTCTGCCACTGAGTTTTGTGTTTGGGCCAGAGCGTTCCCTCACGCAATTCAAGGAGGTAATCTGCTCTCAGAACACTCCAAGGTCCCTTGGGCACCCATCCTTGGACCTTCTAGCACAAGACTAGAAGGCCCAAAGTTTAGTCCATGGAATTATCCTTCTTGAATACCTCCTCACAATTTTGTTTGCTCTTCACCCCATGCCTAAAAGCCCAACTCAGTAGAACAAAACCCAGCCTCCAATCTTGTCACTGGGTCTGTTGAACCTTGGAAAGTCACCAAACCTTTTCTTACCTCAGCAATAGGGATGCTGGCATCTTCTTCACCAGGTAGCTGGGAGTATCTAGTGAGGAAGTGTAGTCACCTTATATAGAGAGGGCTACTCCTGCCTAAATTACAACCTTGGTCTCTGCTCCCCAGGAGTTCCGCCGCCTCCACCTCCCTGGCCATGCTCTCCTTGAGGACCCTAACAGTGGCTTCTTCTTTGTGGCAGCTGGCCAACAGCCAGGTGGGTCCCATGGGGAAACCCCTGCAGTGTCCTGGGCTTGGCACAGCAATGAGGACAGGACTGAAGGCATCGAAAGGGAGGTAAGTCTGACCTGGGGTAGAGGGAGGTGGTAGTGGGTATGTGGCACTGTACTTCAGTCTTGATATTCTGCCTTGCAGCCCCTGATCACCAGTCCCCAAGCCCCTGGCTCCCCAGAGGATTCTGAAGGCACCACTCTTATCATTCTACCCAACCTGCCACAAGCAGGTAAGAGAGAATTTGGGAAGCAAAGTTTGGGGACCAGTACCAGAGACTTGAAGCTAACTTGCCCTGCTTTCATTTTTGGAGGGAAGCCCTAGGCAGGACCAAAAGGAACTCCAGATATTTTCCTTCTCTATTCAGGGAGTCAGCCTGGGCCCAGTCGGGGACTAAGCCTTATATCCAGTCAAGGTAGTGTGGACTCAGACCACCTAGGTAAGCAGGGGGCAGGGACAGAGGACTCTAAGCTGATGGCAGGGGGCATCAGAAGGGGCTCATCTGAAGAGGACCTTCAAGCCTGATGTACTTGGAGGCCCAGACAAGTCAGGCTCAGTTCAGGATGGGAATAAACTTCAGCACATTTGATACAGGTTATGATGGTGGCAGTAGTGGCTCAGACAGTGAAGGTCCAAATGAGACCCTGAGTGAGAAGACCCCCTTCACATTGCGGACTCCACCTGGGCAAGCACCTCTGCAGCCTTCACTCTCAGTCCTTCCTGGGCCCTGCCTGCCTGACTTCTGGCTCATTGTCCGAGTACTACAGGATCGTGTGGAAGTGTATGCACATGCACAGTGAGTAGAAGCCAGGGCCTACACCCTGGCACTGCTACTAACCTCTTTTCCCTGTTCCCACACCTTTCTTCAGTGTTGTTAAAAATAAGACTTGGGGCCTAGGGATATAGCTCAGTTGGTAGAGTGCTTGCCTCGAATGCAAGACACCATGGGTTCAATCCCCAGCATCACAAAAAAAAAAAAAAAGACTTGGGACTGAGAGCTTCAGAGGAATCTGGCTTCAATTCTAAGGTTAGAGCTTCAGATCTCTTCCCACATCTAGCAAAACACATAACTCTAGATTTTGTTAATGGAATTGGAAAACTGATGGAGAATTTGGATTCCAGCTGAACATTAAAAACATCTACCATTCAGAGCAACTTCAGAGGTTGATATATAAAAATAAGGAATAATAGCTGATATTTAACAAGTACATAAAATACATACATACTATTCTAGCATTTTACATGGATCAACGAATTTAATCTGTATAAATAACCTTACCTAATCTTACCCTAATGGTATAAAGAAACTCAAACAAAAGAAATGCTTGCCCAAGGTCACAGTAAATGCCAGAGCTAGAGTTCATGGGCATCTGCTTAAATACCGCTCTGTTCTCTTGGGTGGGGTTGACAGCAAGGAAGACCACCATTCTGACCAGGATTTGAGATTAAAGAAGTGATGGAAATCTTAATGTGGTGCCCACTGGCAAGGCAAGCAAGGAGCCCAAGCTCTTAGAATTGCTCTAAGAATTCCATTTTTACCATTTCCCATTAGGTTTACTTCCCTTGTCCAATCCTTTCTCCTTTTTATGGTTTCCCTTGGTCATGACCTCCATGACCTGCCCTCCCATTTTTGACAGTTAAAATCTCCTGCCAGTTCTGTGTTGGATTCATCCTTCCTTCCTAGGAGCCTGATCCGGGAGGATGGGGGGCCCGGCACTGAGTGTCGCCACCTGCAGCAGCTCCTGGTGAGGCGAGTTGGGGAGATCTGCAGAGAGGTCAACCAGGTGAGCATAGCCAAGGGAAGGGCTCTTTGGACACTGAGGCATAGACCACAGGAGAAGGGAGTTTCTGGGAACTTGATTTTCAGAGGCTATTGCTCCACTGCAGACCCCAAAATAATTATTGGGTGTTTTCTTTGACCTCCCCTACAATTACTGGAATGCTATTACTTCCCCACCTCACTGCAGACTGGGGAGCTCTCCATCTCACCTCTTATAATAGTGGGTCACTATCTTATTCCCTCCCAGTAACTCTGAAATGTTCCCTCTCCTTGCAGTGTGCTAGCATTAGGGATTAATATGAACCAGACAAGGGAAACCCTGATTCTGTGGAGCTTACGTACAGCAGGGACGTAGACATTGAATAACTAAATCACATTATTTATTGACAACTGTGAAGAATTCTACAAAGGAAAAGCAGAGATCAGGGATCTGATAAGCCAGAGTATCGGGGAAGGCTTTTTAGAGAAAATAAGTGGTTTTTAAGTTGAGACCTGAAGGATATGATCAGATTCTGGCCAAGAGGAGGGACAAATGCTTCTCACTGGGTTTGCTCTCAGAGCCCTGAACTCTGTTACCATGGGACCCATTTCTGATTACAGGTGTTTTGACATCTGACCCCCAGTGATAGTGGTCATTCTCTCTGGCCTTTGATCAGCCCACCCAACATCCCACTTATGAGGAATATTTCAGTTCTCTAACATCTTGTTCCTTCTCCCAGAGATTGCTTCTTCAAGATCTTCATGACAGTCATGTGTGTAACTCTCTTCTGGTGGCCGAGAGTGAAGAAGATCTATGGCGCAGTGAGACCCCCTTCCACTCCCGTCAGCGGGCACCACTCCCCAGTGATGGTAGGATCCCACTTAGTAGCCCCCTCTCAAGGCAATACTGCTGTCCACTTTTCTATCCAGTACTTTGGTGAGAAGCTGAGAGCAGGTCCTCACTATTTTGACATTGGTGCCAAGTAATAGAGAGCAAGGATAGTAGGGGAAAAAATTCCTGGATTTGGCTGCTTCTAGTTTGTCAGTGACATTCATGGAAGCAGTTTCAGTGGAGAGGGGGAATAGAAACCAGATGAAATGGAAAAGCGCAGATAGATGGGTGGAGCAAAGAATAACTACCAATTAGCTTGGCAGTAAGAGAAAGAGAAAATAGATGTGGCAGTAACAGAAGGAAGATGGGGGCAAGGAAGGAGCCTCAAAATAAGGTAGATGCCAGATGTCGAGGCACATGCTTGTAATCCCCATGGCCCGGGAGGCTGAGGCAGGAGGAGTGTGAGCTTAAAGCCAGCCTCAGCAAAAGTGAGCCCTCTAAATAAAATACAAAAAAGGGCTGAGAATGTGGCTCAATAGTTGAATGCCCCTGAGTTCAATCCCCAGTACCACCCCCACCAAAAAAAAACAAAATAAGATAGAGACTTGAGTATGTTCATGTTCTATAGAGAAAGAACCAGTAAGAGGAAGAGAGGTTGAAGAATACAGGAAAAAAAAAAAAAAGATTGAAGGGACACAGTGCTATGACATGTCTTCCGAAGGGCACACCTGCACCTGGCCGTGTCTTGTTACCCAAAATGTTCATCTTTCCCCAGCAGGGGAATAGACAGTGATGAGGAGTCTGGGGGAATGAGAACAAGTTCCCAGGTGAGAAAAGACCAGAGGGAGGAGCCTGAGGTCCCATTGAAGGGTTGGCCACCAGACTGGCAGGCAGGACTCCTTTGGGATTCCTGGGATGTCTGACATCTACTTGAGATGGTAATTCAAGTCTCAAAACTTCAGCTCCCTTTTCTTTTTCCAGATGACCTGTCATCTCAGTCCATAAAGAAAAAGCTAAATCATGTCATTCTTTTGCAGTCTTTCCTTAAAATCACACCATTTCTTACTTTTAACATTCTCAGCTGTTCTGTAGATGACTTGTGTGTGCTTGTTTACTGAGGATTGAACCAGGGCCTCATGCATGCCAAGCAAGTGCTCTACCACTAAGCTACATCACCAGTCCCATAGACAACTTTTCTAACATCAACAGGAGAGTGCACCTCTCAGCACATCCTGATATGTTCCCCATATTAAAGCAGACTCCCCAAAATTAGCAGACTCCCATGATTTTGAAGGCAATTTCTGTAAATTGAGAATGAGCCAGGACAACCATCACTCTAAGATGACTCCCAGTAGCCTGGGATGTAAGACCAGTCAGAACCCAGACACAACTCTTCCTCATTTTAATCTCCATATTTTTTCCCTGAAACCCTTAGCAACTATCATTCTGTGCCAGAGTTTCTACACAGAAACTTTGAAGTCTCCTGGGTATCCTCTATGCTTCTGATACCTGACAGCAGCATCTCTGGGAAACCAGATTGCCTCTTTGACCTCCTGAAAGATTTCTCATCAACACAGAAACCTGAAAAGGATCAAACAAAGCACTGGACTGTGGCCAGGGGCTCTTGGGTACCACTATACCACCCATTGGGGTATCTGGCCTCCAAAGCACAGGACATTCACTCTGCAGCTGGTGTACATAGTCTTTTTATTTTAATGACGTTACTGTTGCAAACCCCCTGTGAGAACAGTGGCTTATAGTGCCACTGACATGTTATGACAGGCCAGAATCCCTTGGCATTGTCTTCAGGATTGTCTCATACTGTACCTTTCTCCACACTGCTCCTTAGCTCCTTCTCTGAGTCTCCTTGAAAGTCTGTGTGCAATGATCTATCTTCCTAAGGGCATGACTCTGCCTGGCCCTTCTTGTTACCCAAAGAATTCATCTTTCCCTGGGAATAGATGGTGATGAAGAATCTGGAAGAGTGGCAAGTCAGATAGTCCTCAGGTGAGCAGTCTGGAGGGCAAGGGGCTGAGTGCCCTGTTTCTTACCCATGTTCTCCCTTCAGATTATGCTGCTGATGAGAGCTGTGCACCCCGAGGGTACCTAGCAGCCACAATGCAGTTTGTCCCTGGACATTTCTCCTGTGACGTTGTATGGGGAACTATAATCCGAGTCCACTCACGCCTCAAGATGGGGCCCAGTATGGGGGTCTCTCGGGGTATGTGATTGATGTGAGGGGCAAGTGGGAAGCAGAGGATCTGGGGAAGATCCTCTTCCTGAGCTAGTGTTACTCCCCCAGCCATCCAGGCCCTGCGCTCTGTGCTTAATGCCTTCTCTGTGGTGAATCGGAAGAATATGTTTGTTTATCAGGAGCGAGCCACAAAAGCTGTGTACTATCTTCGGTATGTGGGCCCTGGAAAGATGGAGTAAAGCTTGAGTCAGGGATGGCATGAGAGGAGACATATCCAGATACTTTGCCACTCTTTCCCAGGCTTCTGGAGACATCCTGCAGTGACCGGCCATGGGAAGGGGATGCTCTGCCGCCTTCCCTAGCTCTGTCCCGAAGCCAGGAGCCCATCTACTCTGAGGAATCCTCGGCACGTATTGTTCCCTCTCCCAATGCCCTGTGTTCCCTTTGTACTTTGCTCCCTGGACAAGGGTCTTGACCATATTTGTCCCTGTAGGGTCCTCGTTCTCCCCTGGATGTGGCTTCCAGCCGTAATTCAGATACTGCTCGCCCTGTGGGCCAAGTAGACAGACATATTCAGCTGCTAGTGCATGGTGTAGGGCAGGCAGGTAAGGACTATGAGGGGTTGGGGTATGGCCCATGAAGTCCCTGAATCCTCAAATCCTCTGAAACTTCTCTTACAGCTTCTCCCTACTCTCCCCTGGAATCTCTCCTCGAGTTCCTATTATGTTCTGGGTTTTGCTCTAGCAAGAATAGAGTGGGAGAGGACAGACTCCAGTGACATTTAGGGGATTGGACTCATAGCCAATTGAGATGCAGCTTGAGAAGAAGATCCTGGTAACTCTAGGATAGATGGTAGCTCCACCAGCCTAATGGCAGGAGCTAGCTAGGGTGAAGATGATTGGTTCATTTGGGGCTGTGTTGAGCCTGTGGGGTCCAGGTACTCTGTACCAGATCTCAGGATATGGCTATTTTGCACCCTCTCCTTTAATCATTGTGATACATCTATGAGTTTGGTACTACTGTAATTCTTATTTATGGATGAGGGCCCTGAGGTTTGAGGTACAACTTATGTGTCCACACTCATAGTGAATAGCTTGACAGAATAGAACATGGTGCCTCACAAGGGATCATAAGAGTCTGAGGTTCAAGGGCTAGCATTGGAGTAGCTGGATCCTCTCCCAGTGTCTCACCTTTCATCATGTCCATGTCAAGGTCCTGAGATCACAGATGAGCTAGTGCGGGTTCTGCGGCGGCGCCTGGATGAGGCCACACTGGATGTCATCACAGTCATGCTGGTTCGAAACTGCAAACTGACACCTGCTGATGTGGAGGTCAGCTCCCTTCCAGAGTCCAACATCCTTCTCAAGTCCACCTATAGGTGTTGGGGCAATCTAGGCTGGAAACTCTGCAGTCAGCTCTGACTTCCTCTTCCACTCTGCAGTTCATCCAGCCCCCTGGAAGCCTCCCCTCAGAGGTACTGCATCTGGCCCTTCCTGCCTCCTGCAGGCCATGGCTTCCTGCTCTGGCCTGGTACCTGCGCCAAAACCTGCTCATCTTTCTGCACTCTCCCAAATACACAGACAGCAACAGCCGGAACCACTTCCAAGTAAGATTGCCCTCACCTCTCACGCTCATATGAACCCCTGCCTCCTGCACACCCTGACCATAACTGTTTTCTACAGATACCCCACTTGTACCTTTGCCTATGGACCTGTGCACACCCAGCCCCGACTCACATTCATTATCTGCCTGTGTCTTCTTGTGCTCCTATGTATACCTGTACCCACTTTCCTACTGTGGATGTCCATCTTAGTGTTCTGTGGCTATTCTCTCCCCAGCATCCACTCCCACCACAGGGTGGCCTCCCTGACTTGGACATCTACTTATATAACAAGCCTGGTGGACAGGGCACTGGGGGCAAAGGTACAGTGCAGGGCACAGACCTGTGGTGCTACCAGGTGTGGGAAAGCCATTGCTTGTCTTGTGGCTGAGAGGGCCTTTTGCACCTTGCAGCTGAGGGGTCTTGGGAGGGGAGGTCTGCAAGTGCCAGATCTGAGCCTTCCTATGGATTTCTACCCAGGGGTCGCTTGCATCACTCTAGCCTTTGTGGATGAAGGAGGGGCCCCCATCTCATTGGCCTCGTGGCCCCCCTCTTCCCCGGGGACCCCAGACCTGCTGCGAGAAGAGGAATTTGAGCAACTAACTCAGGTCATTCGCTGCCCAGTCATGCTGGACAGTTCTTCAGGTGGGGAAGCTTGGCCAGAGCATGGGGTGTTCAGTCAGTGCTGTGGAAGACAAGGGTGGTAAGTAGGGTAGGATCTAGGTGTACCCCCAGGTGATTACAGTTCTTTCTTCCAGCTCAGGATGGGGCCCCAAGGCTTCGATTGGATGTTTGGGAAAAGGGGAACATTAGCATCGTGCAACTGGAAGAGAAGCTCCGGGGAGCAGCTCGCCAGGCCCTTGCTGATGCTGTCATGGAGCTGAGACTGCTGCCAGCTTCACTATGTACAGAGGATACACCCCCAGGTAAGCAGGTCAAGAGCCCCACCCCCATAGTCCAGAAAATGTTGAAAATCCAGGCAGGACAGTTTGGCAGGTAACGGTGCAAAGGTAGGGTTCAGAGAAAGTATCACAGAGGCCCCATCAAAAATATGCATTCACAGTTGTCCATCACTTTGGCTGTGTGCATCATCAAGGTGGAAGTGTATGCATGCATCTGGTCACCACCAGGGAGGGGTCTGTCCTCAGGAGCTCATATCACAAACACATGCAGCTGAAACATTATCAGTGTTTACTAATAGAGTAGATGGCAAGGCATACTGGTCTTGGGGCTGTGGGGATTGATGACCAGTGATAGGAGTCTGTAATCTGGTGTCCACAGGAAGTCTCAGGAGCGGGTCATTGGAAACCAAGAGCCCTGCAGGCCGATCTAGCACCTTTCCCCCTGCCCCTGTCCCTGGGGAACCTGTGACTCCACCCAGCAAAGCTGGCCGGCGTAGCTTCTGGGACATGCTGGTAATGGGAACAAGTGGTGAAGTTGGCCTCTACCTTCTTGCCTCCTTTAGACTTTGCCACAGTTCTCTTTTGAAATAAGACTACTCTGTTCTTTGGATAGCAATTTATAGAACATGGCAAGTTCTCACTGATATAGACAGCCCAAAATTAATAAATGCTTTCACTTCCCTTTTTCTTGTTGGATCTCCACAATATCCCGATAAGCAGAAATTTTTCACATGAGAAAAGTAAAGTTCAGGAAAGTTAAGTAACCTGCCTAGGGTTACTTAACTTCTGCCTCGAGAACCCAGGCTTCTAAATTCCCTGAGCTCATTACTGTTCCACCCCCTTCCTCTTCCCAATAGCCCTTCCTCATTCACTGCATTTTCCCCAGAGTAAAACAGAAGGTGGGGATTTGGGTTCACCAAAAACAACTGATGATATTGTTCTGGATCGACCGGAAGACACTAGAGGTAGGAGGCGTCATAAAACTGAGAGTGTTCGGACTCCCGGTGGAACTGAGCGAGCACTAGGCCCAGATTCTGGAGCCCAGAGACAAAGGTACATATGTGTATGCTGAGGTGTTGTGTTACAGGAGGTGGTGTGAGGTCATAGATGGGCATTTGGTTTGCATAAATGTGTATCATATGTGGAAGTAAAGTTCTTAACTCTTGCTCTATCTTTAGACGCCGGACTGCACAGCTAGAGGAAGGTGAAGTGGGAACCCTTCACCCTGTGTTTGCTCATGTCATTCAGCATTGGATGGAGTTTATGGTTCAGATTGGTGAGACTCCAGCCCCTTTCCTATCCTTTGAACCCCTGGCCTATTCTATTATCCTGCAGTGTCATAGGTACATTCTGCCTTCCAGGTTGTGCCTCAGTGTCCAGAAGCTCCACCCACATGGTGTCCCGATTCCTCCTTCCTTCCATTTTGTCTGAGTTCACCACTCTGGTTACCTCAATGGCTGGCGACACCAGTGTCCGTGTCTTTGAGCAGCATTTGTAAGTGGGATCTCATGGAATTGAAGGGAATTTTCCCAGATGTCCCAAAAGCTGCACTTATGGGAAGCCAAACTCATAGAGGCTGAGCTTGGAGAGGTGGGAACTTGGCCCAGGGAGGTGAAAGCTGGGCCAGGGAATGGGGCCATAGATGCTCTCCTTTCTGAGTACCCCTCCCCTCCAATAGAGGTTCAGAGCCTGACATCTTCAGTCCTTGTTCCCCTGGGCAACTGGGCCCAGCCCCCCGCCCAGCAGCTGAGCGACATCTGCTGCTTCTGGGAAGGAACTTCATGCAGTGGAGGAGACCAACCCAGCAGGGTGAGGGTGTGGCCAAGGGGAGGGTGGGCTTGGGTGACATAAGTGGTCTCTGACCCTGCAAGGGGCAGGGTGGGATCAAGGGTAATCTGCACACAGACCTCCATTGTGCTCCTCCCCACCCTATAGCTGCCAAAGCTGTGCAGCGCTTTGAGCCAGGAGGAGACGGGAGCTCAGGGCGAAATGCTCCCCGACAGAGGCTCTTACTGCTGGAGGTTGTGGACAAAAAGGTAAATGTGGGGTCAAGGACTTGGGGAGGAATGATTCTGTGACCTCACTGACCCCAACCCCTAACCTACAGCTACAGCTACTGACCTACAACTGGGCTCCAGACCTGGGGGCAGCCTTGGGCCGAGCACTGGTTCGCCTTGTGCAGTGGCAAAATGCACGGGCCCATCTTATCTTCTGCCTACTCAGCCAAAAGCTTGGGCTCTTCCATCATTATGGCCAGTTGGACTTCCCCGTGCGAGATGAAAAGGTATTTGGTCTGGCTCCCCCTCTGGCTCTGGCTAGAAGCTAGTGAAATGATGCAGCAGGGAAGGGACAGATTAAAGGCAGAGGTAGCAGGGAAGGAGTCATAGGAAACCCCGGAGTGAGAGAGGGTCTGGGGCAAATACCACAAGCCCATTGTGACCCTCCATCTCTCCCAGGAGCCAAACCCATTCCTGCTTCCAACCATGGAAGTGGAGACCCTCATCCGGAGTGCTAGTCCCCCACTGAGCCGCGAGCAGGGCCGGCTGAGTGGGTCCTCTCGTGGAGGGGGTCCTCTTCCTCTGGACACATTCCCCTTTGACGAAGCTCTGAGGGACATCACGGCTACCCGCCCTAGCTCCACCCTTGGTCCTGTGCCCAGACCTCCTGATCCTGTCACCTACCATGGACAGCAGTTCCTGGAGATCAAGATGTCAGAACGCAGGGGTGAGGACCCTGAGCCAAGCAGTAGGGAGGGGAAATCTGTGGAGTCTGGGAGGGAGAGGGGTGACAGCTCCTGGGGCTACTACTAATGTCCCCTACACCCAGAGTTGGAGCGCCAGATGAAGATGGAGAACCTGTTTGTAACCTGGCAGCAGCGTTCTGCCCCAGCCAGCATGCCCATCAGTGTAAGTTACCCCAACCTGCATCCACCATGGGAATCCTGTGCCCTTCCCCAACCACTGCTCTATTGCTCACTGCCCCCTATCCCCAGGCCGGGGAGCTGGAGACCCTAAAACAGTCATCCCGCCTTGTGCATTACTGTGCGACAGCTCTGCTCTTCGACCCAGCTGCGTGGCTGCATGGACCCCCAGAGACGTCTGGGCCCCCTGAAGGACAGGTGATTCAGACTCCAAGATTTCTCCCCACAGATTTACCCCCACAGTGGCCTTCATTCCTCCACCCCCGCCTGCGTGGTTGACAGTGGGTAGAACCTTCATTTCCACTCCCACAGAGGCGCCATCGCCCTGAGTCAGGGTCTGGGAGTCGAGAGGCTCCCACAAGCTGTGAATCCTTGGATATGCCTCCACCAGGAGCCCGTGAGGAGCCTTGGCTGAAAGAGCTCAGCTTGGCCTTTCTGCAGCAATATGTGCAGTATCTGCAGAGCATAGGCTTTGTGCTGGTTCCACTGCGGCCCCCCTCACCCGCTCGCAGGTGAGCCTACCCCTCCTTCCCTCTTCATAGCCCTTCCTCTTCACATGGTTCCTACTTTGACAACTTCAACCTTGTATATGTTCATCCAACTGGATGGCATGCATACATGAGGATCTTGGACACTCCCATGCAGCCTTCATGCATGTCCTGCAAACCTCATAAAATTCACAGAACTCATGAGCACATCCATACAGAACTGGGTGCAGTCTCACTGAGTTTGTGTCCACCCACACGTCATGTGTTTATATGTTTGTTCATATGTTCATACACACATGAATCTCGTGTAAATGAGTATCCCTCTCCTCCCATTGGGGTTCAGAGCCTGACATCTTTAGTCCTTGTTCCCCTGGGCCCAAAAGCTTCTAATAAGCTTTTGGGTCTAGGCCTCACTGATTTGTGTGCTGGTCATCCTTTTGGCCTCCTGAGATTCAGTGTCCTTTTCTTACCAAGGACATCTGCCTTGGGCCTACTTGCATCACTGTCAGTGACCTGTTCTTGGTCATGTTCTCTCCCTGGCCCTACTGTCAGGTCTGACTCTTAGGAAGGAAGCTCCTTCTCTTACCACCTTCTATCCCCCTGCACTCACTGGCAGCTCTGTGGCCACATTTCCCATCTTGCATAAGATCTCAGAGTCCTGTTTTTGAGGTCTTCAAGGTCTGTGTTCCCAGTCCCTTCCCAGTGGCTATGTGAGAAAAATGGTCTGTTCACATCACACACAGTTACTTTTGTGTCTTCATACTTGTAACTTTATCAAGACATTTTCTTGCCCCTCTCCATTTTCAGTTAGATACTTTTATTTATTTATTTGTTTGTTTGGGGTACTGGGGATTGAATGTAGGGGCTCTTTACCAGCAAGCTACATCCCCATCCCAAGCATCTGTCCTCTAACTTTTTTTTTTTTTTTGAAACAAGATCTTACTAAGTGCTAAGGCTGGCCTTGAATTTGTAATCCTTTCGCTTCATCCTTCCCAGTTGCTAAGAATACAGGTGTGAACCACTATACCCAGCTTCTGTTTTTTATATATATATAAATTTTTTTTAAGTATAAAATATATTTCTTTCTTACTCAAGACAACTCCTTGGTCCAGAAAGCCAATTCTGACTCATTGGTGTTTTTGTAACCACCTCTCTTCTTCCCAGGCATACCTCTTTTGTCCAGGTACTAGGAAGAGAAGGCCCCTCCTGGGAGCCCCATCCCTGATTCACAGTGACCAGCTCACTCCTCCACAATCCCAGGGAGGAGTGGCTTAGTATGGTCTCCTGGACAGCCAGTGCCCAGCTTTAGGAGCTTCTCTAAAAGACTTTAGTTTATACCTCTTTGTTATATCTCTTTGGTTATGAAATCTGAATTTCTTTTTTTTTTTCCTTTGTAATGCTGAGGATCAAACCTGGGGTGTAAGTGCTCTACCACTGAGCAATATCCCCAGCCCTCAATTCCTTTTTATAAGACATTAGGTTTAAAAAACAATTTATAGTCAAGCCTTCCTTTCTCACCAATCTTTAATGATCACCAATCACTACTTAAGTCTTACTTCAATTTTCTTGAGGATTAAATAGGACATTTTGTCTGCCAGTGACCCAAGTTTTGACCCCCAGCAAGAGTTCTGGCAGTTTATGGCTGCTTGATATAAATAAATGAGACCCTTTCTGTTTTGTTCACTGTCCTTTCCTTCTTCTCATCTCCCCTTGCTTCCCAGTTAAGAATAAAGAACAGTAGGCTTATGAAATTCTGGGACCACCATTCTCTAATCAAAAGAGAACAACTCTTCCCTCTGAGAAGAGAGTTCTTACCAAGGACATCAAGCATCTCCTTGAATTTTCCTAATGTAGTCTTAGGCTTCATCTTCCTCCTCCCTCTTGTGTTCTCCACTCCTCTCCACTAGTAGAGAATCAGGATGTGCTCCCCTCCCCATCAAGCACAACTCACTCACCCACAGAGCAGCAGCAGCTGTGGAGAGCTTTGCCCTGCAGTCTAGACCTGGACTCCAGGCCCAGTCTTGTCATTTGCTCACTGTAGGACCCTGAGCAGGTCCCCTTTCTGAGCCTGTTGCATTTCCTACAAAACAGTTCCATATAAAATGGTCTGCTAACAATAATCCTTCACCCCCTAGTCTGCTTCAACCTCTTGCCTTTCTCTATTTCCTACAGTACCAGCCGGCTGCGTGCCATGGCTGTCCTTGGAACAGAAAGTCGAGGCTCCTTCTCCTGCCCAAAAACCAAGACTGAAGGGAGTCCCAAGGTAACTCAGTTTCATATAATCTTGCAGTTAGCAAGTGTCAGCAACCCTGGATTATTTCCCCAAGGCACCAGATTAGTGGCCCTGAGTAATGGTCTGAGGTTGCTAACCCCAGACTGACACCACTAAAGTCAGGGACCCAAAGGGACTTCTATCCTACTGGTTAGTTCAAGGCTGCTGAGTCCCCAACACTTGCCCCCCCTTTTTCTTCCTTCAGAGTTCTGGCTCTCCAGTCACTACCTACCACCTGCAGCGTGCGCTACCTGGAGGCATCATCCTCATGGAGTTAACTTTCCAGGTGAGCATGGGGAATCACTAAGTGGAAAGAACCAAACCCACCTGTCTCTCACTCACCTGACTCCATCTTACCCTCTCTGCAGGGCTTTTACTTCTGTGTCAAACAGTTTGCCTTAGAATGTTCCCGAATCCCAATGGGGCAGGCAGTCAACTCTCAGGTATGTGAGAGGGACCAAGGTAGGTGATGGACAATGCTTAGGCATAGTCAGGGCAGCATGGCTCCATGAACTATCTAGTGGGTAATAAAAATAATGTAGCGGACAGTCTGGCCCAGTGATTGATCTAGTGCCATAGCCTGGCTATGTCAGTGGTCATTCTGCATTCTGGTGCTGGGACTGAACCACCTACCAGTGTAACCCTGGGTAGTCCAGTACTGCATCCAGCCACAGCACCAAGGCAGAAGGCAGTCTATGGTCTTCTGACACTAACAGTAGCTACCACAGTGGTCATCCATAACTGTGGATAGCTGAACAATAAAGACATTTGAGCACAGTGGGTAGGTCAGTGCCATGCACCATCCTGGTCTAATCTAGAGATGGAGACAGCCTGGCATTGTCTGTATGTCACTAACACTGCGAATGAGAACCATAGTTCTGACCCACACAGTGTACCCCTGGCACTTAAGTTGTTATTTATATCCCTGCCAGTCTGCCTCCAGGCCAGACCTCTGTATCCCAGGAGAGCCAAGCACTCAGTCAGGAATACTCACGGAGTTGGGTTATCAGGTGAGGTCAGGGACCTGGAGCCCTTGCTGTATTTAGTTAGTTCAGCTCCTCAGGTTTCCAGGAATGCCACATTAGGGCCTTGCCTAGTATTTAGTTTCTGAAAGATTAGGATCTGACAGGGTCCAGTTCAGACAGCATAGACTTCTCTCCATTGTGTGGGGCTCATATTGGCAGTTCATATCGAGTCATAGATGGTTGCCTTTGATTTATGTGTGGATACCGGGTCACTGAAGATCACAGGATAATGTGACTCAGAAAAAAGCGTGGTACATTTATTTGCAAGAAACTGCTTGGGCCAGAGTGCTCAGAAGGGTAGTATGGATGGGCTTCTTGACCTCCCTGTGGAATTGAAGGGAAAGACCCACCCCATTACTGTCCTGAGCTTCCTTCTGGCTTCAGTGTCCCCCGATCTCCCTCCAGCTATGCCCTCTCTTATCTAACACTGCCCAGGTTTCTAAGTTGCTTCATGATTATCATTGTCCATGAAGTGCTTAGTGTATATACTAGGTAAAGACAGTATTTCTCTAGATAAGGAGACAGGTTCATAGAGGATTGTCCCTGGACACACAGCTCATCGGGGCACTGTTTTGGGGTTGAAATCTCAGCTCTCCTTGTTTGTTTCATCACACTACCTGTAATTCAGGAGCTTCTCTAAAAGAAGCTCATTATCTCCATGGCAGGTGAGGAAACTGAAGCACAGAAAGATTGTGACTATGCAAGGTCATACAACTAGTCTTGAATCCTACAGTCATTTGTTTCCTGCCCTATTAACTCATAAGCCCAGTGCCCCCAGAGTGGCTAGGTACATTCTGCCATGCCAGCACCACACATCCAGTTTTTAACAGTTTTGGTGATTTCCACCAAGACTTGTACCCGTTTCATGTCTCAGCCTGCCTTCCTTCTTCCATCAGTGGTTCATTCACAGGCAGGCAGGCAGGCCTAGCCTTAGCAATTGCCACCCCCACCCCAACATATCAGGATACCTATTCCACCTGGGGAAGTGTTCCAGAGAAAGCTTGAAGAGCAAGTAGGAGTTAGCCAGGTTGGGTTCAGGGAGAACAGCCTTCTCAGTGAAGGGCACACAGGTACAAAGTGTAGAGGAGGCTAGACTCTGGTGGGGTCTAGGATACTGAGTAAAAAGACCCAGCCTCTCAGAATGGTTCTAGAGTGATAATACGGTATTAAAAACTGAGAATAAGGGCTGGGGTTTTGGCTCAGTGGTAAAGTGCTTGTTTAGCATGTGTTCAGTCTTCAGCACCACATACAAAAAAAATAAAGGTCCAACAAAAACAACAAAAAAAATGAGAATAAATCAGGTGTAGTCCCAGCTACTCAGGGGATTGGGGCAAGAGGATCATTTGAGCTTAAGAGTTCAAGACCAGCCTGGCAACATAGGGAAATCCTGCCTCAAAGAATGTAGTGGGCAGTCTGGCCCAGTGATTGATCTGGTGCCATAGCCTGGCTACATCAGTGGTCATTCTGCATTCTGGTGCTGTGACTGAACCACCTACCAGTGTAACCCTGGGTAGTCCAGTACTGCATCCAGCCACAGCAGTACTGGGTTTCCCCTAGAAGCTGTTCTGGCAGAGGGATTTCTGCGAGGCCCACAGTAACAGAGGAAATCTGTCAAGCTTCCTCTTCTCCAGAAGGAGGGAAATATGAATTGGGCAGCCTGTCCTGCCACATGCTAATAGCTTGTTCCCTGCTGCTGCCTCCCCAGCTGTCCATGCTATTCACAGAGGAGTGTGACAAGGTGCGGGATCTGATGCACGTGCACTCCTTCAGCTATGACTTCCACCTGCGCCTTGTGCACCAGCATGTGCTGGGTGCCCACCTGGTGCTTCGGCATGGCTACCACCTTACCACCTTCCTGCGACACTTCTTGGCCCACCACCCTGATGGACCCCACTTTGGCCGCAATCATATTTACCAAGGTTGGTGCCTAAGAGCAAGCCAATGAACCCCAAAACGATCAGGCCACAAGGTGTCTCCAGGGCTGGTAGAACCATCTGCCAGGGCAAGTGGTCCCCTATTGTTAATTGTCCGTATCATTCATCCTATGTCCCCGTTTCTATTCTGGGTCTGTCATATCAAAGTTAGGCCTAATGTTGTGTGTACCCTGCCCTCTGTTCTGAGTCTCTTTTCATCCTATCTCAATGTTCCATAGGAAGGCAGAGCCACTCTGCCAGTTAGCCCTAGCAACTGCCACCCCCGCCCCACCAGATCAGAGTGCCTGTCCCAGGCTTAGTGTCTGCTGTCTTTGTGACCCTCCCCTTAGGGACACTGGAGCTTCCCACACCACTCATTGCTGCCCACCAGCTGTACAACTATGTGGCTGATCATGCAAGCTCTTACCACATGAAGCCACTACGTATGGCCCGGCCAGGGGGTCCAGAACATAATGAATATGCTCTAGTGTCAGCATGGCACAGGTAAGACTGGAAACACACTATGTTGTGGCTGAGGTTGGGGTCACACAAATAGGGAGACCCATGTTTTCTTGGGCATAAAGGTGGGGTTGGTTTCATTAGCATCTCATTGACGTCTTCCCCACCCCCACTGCACAGCTCTGGCTCCTACCTAGACTCTGAGGGACTTCGCCACCAGGATGACTTTGATGTGTCTTTGCTCGTCTGTCACTGTGCTGCACCCTTTGAGGAGCAAGGCGAAGCTGAGCGGCATGTTCTGCGGTCAGCAGATCCCTCACTTTGAACATGCCCCTTTCCCAGCTGCCTCCTGCTCCTGCCCTGTGTGCCTTACTGTGACCCCCCCCCCACTCTTCTGCCCTCCCCAAACCAGGCTGCAGTTCTTCGTGGTGCTCACCAGCCAAAGAGAACTCTTCCCCAGACTCACTGCTGACATGCGCCGGTTCCGGAAGCCACCCAGACTGCCCCCTGAGCCAGAGGCTCCTGGGAGCTCAGCTGGTAGCCCTGGGGAAACTTCAGGGCTTGTCCTAGTCCCTGGACCAGCTCCTTTGTTCCCACCACTGGCTGCAGAGGTGGGCATGGCCCGGGCACGGCTGGCTCAGCTGGTCCGGCTGGCTGGTGGGCACTGCCGTCGGGACACCCTCTGGAAGCGCCTCTTCTTGCTGGAGCCACCAGGACCTGACCGGCTAAGGCTTGGGGGGCGCCTGGCCCTGGCAGAGCTGGAGGAGCTCCTAGAGGCAGTCCATGCCAAATCTATTGGAGACATTGACCCCCAGCTGGTAAGAGACTGGACTCCAGAAATTCCAAAGACAGCCAGGGTAAGAGGGTAAAGGAGTCTTAGGAGATTCAGGAACAGTGTATTCAGAGCTGTGGACCCTCTCCCAGGACTGCTTCCTGTCCATGACGGTCTCCTGGTACCAGAGCCTGATCAAGGTTCTCCTGAGCCGTTTCCCCCAGAGCTGTCGTCATTTCCAGAGCCCAGATTTGGGAACTCAGTACCTGGTAAGTTCCCTTGACCCTCCTCCAAGAGGAGAATGATAACAGAAATCCTCATCAAAGGAGCTTAGCCAGACTGCACAAGCTCTTCCCTAGAGTAAGACCTAGATGGAATATGACTACAGATACATGTAAAACCCTTGAGCATTTATTCCCAGCATGTGATTTGCAGAGAATTAACTAAGAGCTTTGCCCTCAACAGCTCACCAAGAACACACACCTGGGCCTGAAATTCTGAGGACCAAGCTCTAGAACTGGCAACCCAAGGAGCTCTCAGAAATTCATCAGTAATTGGTCTTGGAGTCTGGAGTCCCAGAGGGAATCTGGGCTTTAACACCTGGTTACTCAAAGTATGATCCTCAGATCAGCAGTGTCAGCATCACATAGGAGTTTGCTGAAAAGCAGATGGCACCCTCACACACACACTCAAATCTGCATCTTAGCAGTATCCCCAGGTGATGTGTACATGATAAAGTCTGAAAGCACAGCTGTAAAGGACAGGTAGGGAGAAAAGCACTACTGTGGTGGGCACGTGCCTAGGGAATTACAGAGACTAACCAGATGGCCCAGAGAGAGCTGTGGTTCAGGAGACGAGACATTCGAGAAAAGACTGCAAGTGAGAAAGTAGGCATCAGAGCCTAGTGAAGGGCCCCGCAACATGGTGCTTGTGGCGAGGAGTCATGTCTTGAGTGTCATCCAGAAACCAAGGTCCATCAGGACAAGGCTGCAGTGGTATAGGTGGGTATGGGCATTTAGGGTGCTCCTGCAGTGTTGGGAATGCTGAAGCAGAAGTGGGTTTGGGAAAAGGGTAATGAGCTCAGCCTGGGCCAAGTTGAGCCAGGGACCTTCACTGACTAGAGGTGTGTGGATCAGGGGTTGCGCTCAGGAGAGAGACCTACACAGCAACCATGTGAACAAGTGGTATGAAGCCTTGCAGGGAGGAGAAATCACCCAGGGGTGAATCCCAAAGCCAAGTGTTAGGGAGCACCTGGACATTAAGGGATAGTTCCAAGGGTGGGATCGGAGATAAGAGACCCAGGACAGGAAGTAAGGAGGAGGCATCATGCCAAGGATCGTGAATTCTCCCTTGCTGGTTGGCTTCAGTGTGCCAAGCTCTGTGCAGGGCCTCTAGAATCATTTTGAGGAGGGTGAGACAGGCTGATTGGCGGGCCATTGAGCATGTGGACTGAGATTCGGTAAAGACAGGTCCAGCTGGGCTTGGGCATGGTGTAGAAGGCCTTTCCTCTTCCTGCCATCTCCACAGGATGCCCTGCAGGAGGTCAGCACCCCACCCCCAAGTGAGACAAACCTCACTCCCCATCTCACATCATCTGTCACTACAGGTTGTGCTGAATCAGAAGTTCACTGACTGTTTTGTGCTAGTGTTTCTGGACTCCCACTTGGGAAAGACGGTGAGAACGGGGACTTTGTGACAGCCCAGTGGGAGGCTGTTCTCCTGATGATCACCTCAGAGCCTACTGAGGTCGGGGTGCCCACTCTTCCTGAGCCCTTCTCCCTGTCCTTTTCTGTGGCCTTCTCTCACCCTTACCATGTTCCCCACAGTCTCTGACAGTGGTTTTCCGAGAGCCCTTCCCAGTACAGCCTCAGGACAGCGAGAGTCCCCCTGCCCAGCTGGTCTCCACCTACCACCACTTAGAGTCCGTCATCAATACAGCCTGTTTCACCCTCTGGACCCGCCTTCTCTGAGGAAGTGGACCACTGGACGCCACTGTACATTGAATCATGAATCTGTAAGATTGCCCACCTGAGGCATGACTAATTAGCCCTCTCAGGCTCCAGGGCTAACTTGCATACTGAGCGACACCAAAGGCTTTGTGAATACTTCTGGGGATTTACTGCTGCAGCCTGGCAGCAGGGATTATCTTCCCCAAACACTCGTAGCTGCTGACCAGCCCAGGACTCTAGGGGGTAAGGTCAACTCCCTAAGGCACCCATCCCCTCTCAGACTCCTTAGACCTTCTATAAGGGGACAACTCCCTCCTGTCCACCTATTAGAGTCTTGGGAATTCTTCACAGCAGGTAATAAGCACTCACCCCTTAAGCTCTGCCAGAATCCTGCCCCCCTTAGCCTTCTGGTCTTCATTCCCACTTGGACATCACTGCTGGACATTGCTATTGAGATGAAACCTTGGTTCCTATCTGAACTCTGCCTTTGAAGCACATGTGACCAGCATCAAGCTCCTTTACTCTTGGCCCCTGGTTCCTCACTTGTAAGTGAGAGGAAGGCTTAAAATCTCTCCTTTTCCCACAGCAACTCTGGCACCAACTGGAAGATTTGAGCATGAGCTGTGTGTCCCTTCTCAATGGGAGGGTAGCAACTCAAAGAGACTGAAGCATTAGACACTGTGTGTCCTCTACCCCATAACATATACATATGAAAATGTTCAGTAAGTTGTCTTTAATTCAAAGAAGACGACTCGGGGTGCTCACTCATTGCCCCAGAGAGGCATGTGGGTAGTGTGCAGGACCTCACTGGACAACCCGTGGGTGGCCCCGCTTATCCCAGTATGAACGTAGCCAACTCAGACCCTCTACTGTGTCTCCTGTAGAGAAAGGGAGGCAGTGGCATCTCAACTTACCAAGAGAAAAATAGCCCCTGTCCAATACCTGTCCCTCTAGAGACTTCTTCCCCAGGGCCACACCTGGAATCTCACCTTGAGGCTGATACTCACAGCCCACAAAGCCTTGGTAGCCTTCATCTTCCAGCAGCTGGAACAGATAGGGGAAATGCAGCTCTCCAGGGCTCCCTGGCTCCCCTCGGCCAGGGACCTGTGCCACCTGTACGTGCCCTAGGGACAGATGTGGAAAGACATGGGGCCAGGCTCCTGTTGAGGCCTAAGAGACAGAGACAGAGGTGGACAGGCAAAAGAAGCAGCTCTGCAGATGAAGAAGGTACAAAGAAAGGGAGCCCTCTCACCAATGATAGGCAGGAACTCCCGAATGTTTCCCGTCAGGTTCCCATCCATGATCTGCCAGTGGAATATATCCTGGGGAAGAGAATACTATACTATAGTTGGACCTCTCAGGTGTCTCCCACCATTTTTCTTATATTTGGAGAACAGGCTCTCAGAAGCACTCCCTTCCTCCCACTCACCATTTGTAATTGGAGGTTGGGTCTTCCAACCTTCTGTAAGATGGCAGCCGCTGGGAAAGAAGCCAGGGAGGGGAGCCATTAGACTCATGGAGACCATAGGAATCAAAAGGAATGGGAAGAGGAACAGACTGGATTCTTACCCTGCTGGGGTGTATCCAGGAAGTACTGGGGGTCAGTGATACGCGTATTAATGGGCTCCAGCAGTCCCACGAGGTTCTCCTAGCACCATATTGGATTCTGTGAATAGGACTCCTTCCCAAGTTTGTTCTCCATCAACCACTGGCCAGCACACCTGTCAGTCGGACCTGGGCAGGTGCTCACCCTTGTGCCTCATCTCTCCTCACTGGGCACCCCTCTCCCTACACACATGTAAATGCATATTTCCACTTACCTGAGCCAAAACTCCAGCTGCATACCTTAGGTTCTCCAGAAAAACTGTCTCCATCTCACCTGTGACTGCTGCTCGGTCAGCCCCCTGGGGTACTCTGCCAGCCATCAGGTGGATCCTATAAGGAAAATGGGACTAGAAGCTTCATGCTATTTGTTCCCTGTACACCTCCTCTCAGATGCCTTCTGACTATGCTGACCCTCACCCATCCCTCCAGGTCTGTGGTCCATACCACCCTGGTAGGGGGTTTCAAGCATCCCCTCATCCTCAGGCACTCCTGTGTCAGCCCAAGGTCAAGTCTTTTCTGAGATGCCATCTTAAAGTCAACTCATCATTCTGCCACAGGAACCTCAAGTCTTCACCTAACTCCTGTACTTTCAACTTCTCCTTTCCCCTGGCCTTCCCCTCAGCTTATAAACATGTTTGATTCTCAGTATTTTAAAATAATTTTGACCTTTTCCCTTCTTGGGCATTCCATGCTGCCTGTTGACTTCCTTTCTATAGCTACCTGTAAGCAACTTTCTCTAAACCCAGTCAGGGTTAGGTGCCCACCCTGTTCCCACAGCTTTCTTGTCCTTCATTGGATCCCAGGCTATATTTAAGTTGCTATCTCCCTGTCAGACTGAGCTCCCAGCATGGGATCGGGGCACGGATGTGCATGAAAGCACGGCAAACAGAGAAAAATACACAAACACAATTTACAAAAGACCAACTAGAGGGCTGGAGAAGGGCCAGTGGGCCCAGGCCCCTAAGTCCCGGCATCTCAGAACTGGCGACCTCTTCTCTGACCCTGACTCTAAGGTCTTGGGAGGGGGATAGAGCGGGATACCTAGGACAGCCCAGAGCCTTGGCGTACAGCACAGCCTGCTCCAGCCCTTCTCGGAAAGCCGCCTGTCTCCCGGGGACGGCCCCCAGCCCCATTTCCCTCTTCTCCTGGTCTCCTGCGGAGAAAACGGGCCTCAGTTCTAACTCAGGGACGCCGCGCGCCGCTCCGGCCGCCTTCGCCCCGGGACTCACCCGGGGGCGTGTTGATCAATACCAGCTGCAGCCCCGCTGCCCGCGCGGCGCGCGCCAGAGCCTCGGGCGGCTCCGCGTACGGCCAGGCCACTTCGGCGGCCTCGAAGCCCGAGCTGCCCGCAGCCCGCAGTCGCGCAGGGAGGTCGGGGAGTTCCGGGAACAGCCAGGACAGATTGGCGGAGAAGCGTAGCGGAGCCATGCTGCAGCGACAGACCAGACCGTGTCCGTTAGCCACCGGAAGGCGGAAGGCCGGCGGGCGGCGCCAGCGTTCCCTGGGCTGGCCTTCCGAATCCGCGGGTGTGGGTCTGTGGTTAGAAAAGCAACGTGTTGGAACCTGCGACAATGCAGAAAAGGACCTTTTTCCACTGGAGAAGAGGAAGGGCGAGGAGAAGAGGAGGCCGAGAGGCCGCGCGCGCCCCCTGGACTGGGAGCCGGGAAGGGGCCGTCCCAGGCCAGGTTATTATTTAAAAAAAAAAAAAAAAAATCTGCTAATTAAGAAAGATTTGAAAGTTATGACCAAATAAAGAACTATTATACCACCAGGTATCACATCACTAACACCTAAACTATCCATTACAAATTGAAAAGTAAATGTGCATTTTTCTTAGAAAATTCTAATCATGTTGTGTATGCAGTTATATAGCCTTTTTGCCCTTTGTAATATCTTGTGGGTATTTTCTGTGTTCAATAGTCTTCAGTAATTTCATTAAGCTGCTCATTGTTGCATACCTAAACAGCCCATAAATATCATGCTACTCCATTGATAGACATTGTGTGTGCTATAACAGCACTTTAATGAACCTCTTGGTCCCCATTTTTGCATCTTTTTTTAAAGATTCCTTTTCTAGGCAAGTCCATCACAGTGTTTGTCCTCAGTTTTTGTCCTTTATAAGGGAAACTGACACACCACTGGTCAGCAGCTATGGGCTGGCTATCTCCTAATATTAGCCCTGCTGATTTGGGCCAAGGGAGGGACACTTGATCCAAGAGCAACCAATCCACAGACAGATGGAATAACTCTTACTTAAATAGTTTGGAAAGGTAATCTGGCCAATCAGATTCCCCTATGGAGAGTTCAAACAAGGAAAAACTGAGAGTTAAGAAGTAATGTTGCCAGCAGATGATGGGGTTGTAAAAACTGGACAAGCAAGAGTTAGATGGTAGAGAAAAGATACAGCAGAGAGGAGGCTAACAGTTCTAAGGGAAAAAGCAGCACACTGAGAATCCCCTGCTGTTCCAGGGCAGCCCAAACCCACACCTGCTCCTAGGTCTGTGCAATTCCCAAGGTTAGGATGTTCCCACTTTTCTGGGTTCCCTCATCTAATTAGCCTCTTGGTGTTTTCTGAAATAATTTGAATGAATACACTTTCATCTACTGGGCATACTCTTACAGGTGGACTTAGATGGCCAAAAAACAAGAATATGTTCTTGATGGATGTGCTAAATTGCTTTTCAAACATGTAAATTTATACTCCCAACAATCCACAAGTAAAGCCATTTTGATCTGTTTTCTGTGCTAATGTTGATAAAAGTTCAAGGTGCACCCAGTACCTGGCTTCCACTATTTGTTTTCTCACTGCTCTCTATGGGATCCCAAGCCAGCCCACTCAAACACCTGGGGTCCAGTCTCATCCTTTCGTTCATCCAAGTACTTGTCAGGTTCCATTTCTTTTGTATTTTTCCTCACTTTTTAAAATTGGTGCATTATAGTTATACATACTGATGAGATCTGTTGTTATATATTCATACATGCACACAATATACAATATAACAATATAATTTGACCAATATCACTGGCAGGTTCCATTTTTTCAGCTTTGCCACCAAGGACACTGTCACCAGCTAAACCTGATCACCTGATTTCTTGCCCATTAGCAGCTGACTTTATACTTGGACCTTTGGCTTATGCTGGAATGTGTTTCTTGGGTAAAGTCCAATCAGGATGTGACTTCATTAAGTTTATCATTTTAATGAATCCCCACATCAGCAGGTTCACAATCCAAAGTTGACAATCCAGAATGACATTGAAGGGGAGTAATTCCTTTATTAAGACTTCACTGTAAATACCTGAGTATGCAAATTCTACAGAAGACCTTCATAGCACCCTCATCTCTTGGACTCTGAATCAGGAATAAAATGTGTCCAACCCAAAATGGCCCACCCCCTTTTCCTTGAATACCCTTTAGGGCAGCAGAGATGTTGCATAAACTAGACATACATGACTCACTTTTCCTCTTAATTACTTTACAACATCTTCACATAATATTCTAAAACAAATATATAAGGAATACAATATCCATGAAAATTGTTTTAATTTCTTTCTTTTTTGTGCATGTATATTTGTGTGTACATACACATACATGTGCTAAAACTTGAACCAAGAGCCTCATGCTCTAGCACTGAACTACATCACCAACCCCAGCCTAAAAATTATTTGCTATATTCACCATTTGATTGTCTCTACCTTATACCATTTTGTAACATAGACATTATACTAAATACAAGTCTTGATTCTTTGCATTTCACCAAAGAATTTACACAGGGTTGATATTCAGTTAAGGTAACAACAACCTGTAAATTGGCCAAAACTCGAGTATAGAGTTCAGAGTCTCATTTGATCACTGGATAGCACTTACCAATGCAGTAAAACATATTACAATTCATGTGCGAAATATAAATTGAAATGTCAGTGAAATTCCATATGATGACTTCCAGACTGGCAAAAATAAAAGTATCAAATATTGGATAGGATTTGGGACAACTGGAATGTTTACTCACAGTTGATAAGAATGAAATCACGACAAACACTTTGGAAAACAATTTGGCATTATTTCATAAAGCTTATATGTATTTGATCCAACAATTCTTTTTTCAGGTGTATTTCCCTGAGAAAATTTTTACACAAGCGTGCCAGGAACAAGCACTGTGATGTTGATACTAGCACTATTTATGTAGCAAAAAGATGAAACTAACACGAATGTCCATCAAGACATATACAGATGAGTTGTAATATAGTCAAACAGTTTTGTATAAAGAAGTGAACAGAGCTAGGTGCTCATGTGCACTGCAATCCCAGCAACTCAAGAGGCTGAGAGAGGCAGGAGAATTGCAAGCTCAAAGCCAGCCTCAGCAACTTAGAGGGGTCCTAAGCAACTTAGCAAGACTCTATCTCAAAATTTAAAAAAAAAAAAACTGAGGATGGCAGAACACTGCTGGGTTTAGCCCCCAGTACCACCCCTTAAAAAAGGAAAAAAAAGAAAAGTGAAGAGAAAGTTGGAGGCTCAAGTGATAAATGTAAGCTTGCTCTTGTACTAGAACAATATATGAAGAACTTAGTGAAGTTTGGGTCAAGTTGAAAATACCAATGCAAAGGCATCAAATGGATAAATCTCAGAAACAAAATCTTTTGAAAGAAATACATACAGTACGATTCCATTTCTATAAAGCCAAAGGCAGGGAAAACCAAAGAATATCTTGAGTAGGAATACAAACATCTGTGGTAAAATGATGAAGATAAATGAATAATGATCACAAAATTCAGCGTAAAGATGACTTCTTCAGGGGGAAGGAATGGGAAGGCCTTGGAGGCCTTAAAAGTCCTTGTCATCCCTTCTCTTATACTAGGTAGTACAGTCATGTTCATTTTATCACTCTTCTTTATAGATTACAAATGTTTCATAGATACTGTCTTTACATGTTGGGTTCATATTCAATAAAAACAAATTTAAAACCTTCTGTGCACATCATTGTCACCTGTTAGCACATTTCATATTAACATTCTCATTGCGGTATCATCATAATCTTGAAGTTTATCTACAGATCCCGCTTGTTTGTATGGTTTATATGTATAGTTTGGATCATGATCACTACTTTTTAGATGGCCTCTGCTTAGCAGAGTGGTCTTTTATTGTGTTAACTGCTCAGAACCTGGAGTAGTAGACAGCCTGTAAAATGGACTCCAATCATCTCTATCTCCCAGTACTCATACCCCTGGGTACTCCTTTCCCCTTGAATGTGTGCCTCACCAGTAACAAAGAGAAGAGGACAAAAGTAGTATGATGTCACTTCAGAGATTAGGTTACAAAAAGGCTGTGGCTTGTGTCTAGGGTACACTCTCTCCTTCACTTGCCTGCTCTGAGAAAAACAGATACCATATTGTGATGCCCAATTAAAAAAAACTATGTATTGGGGAGCTGATGTAGTTAATTATTCTTGACCAAATTTGTCCCATACACACACAAAAATGCATAATTGAAATCCTAATCTCCAATGTGATGGAGCTTTTGGGAGATCATTAGGTTTAGATGAGATCATGAGTGCAGGGTCTCTTGATTGTATTATTGTCCTTGTAAGAAGAGAAAAAGAGACCAGAGCTCTCTCCCTCTTTCTATATATAAGGACACAGTGAAGAGGCAACTGTCTGCACACCAGGAGAGCTTGATCTCTGACTTCCCAGCCTCCATGAACTATAAGAAGTAAACGCTTGTTGATTAAGCCACTCAGTCTATGGTGTTTTGGTCCAGCAGCCTATGTGAGTTTCCCACGACTATAACAAATACCTGAGATAACCAACTTGTAAAGAGAAAAGGTTTATTTGGGCTCATGACTTGAGAGCCTTCAGTCCACGACTGATTAGCCTTGTTGCTTTGGGCCTTTGGCAAGAGCACATGGTAAACCAAAACCATTCACCTCATGGCTGGGAAGTGAAAGAGAGAAAGGGGCTGGAATCGCACAATTCCCTTCCAGAGCACATTCCCACCCTCTGATGATCGGAATACCTGCCTCTAGGCCCCATTAAGGTTCTACTACCTCCCAATCCCAACAAGCTGGAGAAAGAGTCTTTTCTACATAGGTTTTGGGAGGAAACGTAAGATCCAAACGACAGCACTGACCAAGCTGTCAAGGACCCAAGGCCATAGCCACATGAACAAGTTTAGAAGCAGATCCTCCCCGCAACTGAACCTTAAAAAGATGACTGTACTCTGGCCAACACCTTGATTGCAGGCTTGTGAGAGACTTTGAGTCAGACACTAAATTAAACCACACCTGGTTTCCTGATCCACAGAAATTTCTTTGATAGTAAACATTTGTTATTTTAAGCCACTGAATTTTGGATAATTTGTTAGTAGCAATAGATAACAATAGTTAATGGATCCTTAATAGAGGACCCATATCTTTTTCTGGGAACAGTCCTGTTGTTTAGGGGAACAACTGTATAGCACTTTCAAAGC